ATCTTCCTGTTCAGAAATACATGGCATGTTTCACAGATAATACAACCAGGTTATATTATCAGGTTTTTGATTTGCTGCCATGTTTCTTTAGTTTCTGCCTCTGTTTTTCATTTTCTTAGGGGTAGGAACCTACCATGGAATAGATTTTCTGTCTATGACAGGTTTCTTTGAGTGAAGTCGTTGTATAGAAGTAGACACAGTCTGCCTTATCTGGTTGCCAAGCATGCTGTGCACATGCTCCATGAGAGATTTTTGAAATTACCAGGAAAGAAAAAGGTAATTTTTCTTGATAAATTTCACAGTGTTACAGATGGCCTCAGGTTTTTTTTTTTTAAGTGAGTAGTTTGAGGGAAACTTCTTTGGCAGTCAGACCTGATGAAAGCTTACCACCAACTGCAAGATCAAATATTTTGTTTTTCCAATTTTATAAATGAGGAACTGAAGCCCAGAGAAGAAATCTGATCTCATCTAGTCACACATATAATCACACTGCTTTACCAAGAAGGACCTGAGCCCAGTGCCCTCACAGTAGGCAGAACCTCACTGATTCCTGGGCAGAGGAAGCCCAGGTCATCTGAAAACAAGACTGGACTGAGCAGAATCTGAAGTTATTCTTTAGCAAACCCAGGCAGAGAGAGAAGAGACTGCTTTTTTTTTTTTTTTTTTTTTTTTGGTGGGACTGTGTTTGTTTGTTTGTTTGTTTTTAAAAGAATTCTGTTGACTTTTCTCTAAATCCAGATCATTCTTTATTCCAAGGAAGACTTGGATCAAATCTGAAACTCACTATCGTGATACCTCAGGGCAAGGCAGTCATTGCTTTACCAGTGCCAAAAGAACTCCCAAAGTGCCTTTGGAGGGGCGGGAGTACTTAGATTTCATTCTCTACATCCCACAAATTGGCAAATTGTCCCACGCAGACAAGGGACACATGTTAGCACATGTAGGCTTCTCCACACATGGGGAATGCACTGCGCAGTGCAGAATTCTGTCTGTGTGCTCCTCATCCATTTACTGCTAACTCCTTCCTGTTTTCATTTTTAAAACTTGACGTTAATGTATTTTGAGGGACAGCAAGTTTACTGTTTCCCAAGGCTTAAGCAGTCTGAGTTTTGAATTACAGCTGTGTCTGTGAGTGAGAAGGCGATTCAGGAAAGAATTACATACAAACATATGTGTACCCCAGTTAATCTATGTAATACCTATGGTATACATATAGTGCATATGCATAATGTATTCCAAGAGAGGAGGCCTTCATTCAGACCTTCATACAGTCAACAGAAAAACACGGAGCATCTGCTGAGATGCAGAGGTTGACTAGTAGCAGGCACAGGTACCAGTAGGTCCCCACGCTAGAGCTAAAAAAAAGTGGGGGGGGCTGCTGCTGAGCAAATAAACACAACTATGTGCATACGTACAAGTCATGACAAGTGATTGATGAGGATCTCAGAATTTGAGGTACAACCTCCCCATATCACTGAAAACGTACCAGTGAGAATCCATGGGGAGTGGGGCCATGTTTGCTTTGAAGATTCTGGGGCTCTGACTCAGCTTCATGCATGCTAGGCTAGGGCCTCACCACTTAGCTACACCTGCAGCCCAAATTCCAGTAGGATTTAAACACAGTGAAATAATTTTTTTGTATCTTTTCCTTCCTTTTTTTTAGTGGTTTAGATTTAGCAAATGATTCTTTCCTAATTAAATCAAACCACAAGCCCTGATTCAGTATCTCAAGCCAGTTGCACTGGTTCAAGGAAGGAAAATAGGCTACATGTGCCAATGATACATATTTTTCTTCCCCTTTTTTGTGTTTGTTTGTTTGCTGCTGTGGTGCTGGTGATGAGCCCAGCAGGGACCTTGCACATGCTAGCAAACACTCTTTCACTCAGCTACCTCCCCAGCATTTTATAGAGATAATTAATTGATTTGACTCACAGCTTTCTAGAAATGTTTAAAGTCTAATCAAAAATTTCTTTTTCTTTTTTTTTTACAAAAAGGAGATTTTCTGCCTGGCTATTTGCCTTGTAAGGTAGCAGTGTTGTTGCAGAAGTCGCAACTATTCCAGTAATTATAAACTATATTCTTTTCTCACATCAATATTGGGTACAGAAGGTTCTCAGATGCCATTGGCATTGTCATAGGACTAAAGTCTCCTTTGATAATAATCCCCAAATAATCTCCCTCTGCTACATACAACCAGCTCTGCAGGCTGCAAGCCCCAATGGAGTATGAAGAAGGGAAAACACCTGGAGAAGGGTTTTGTGCAGATGTAGACAAGGGCACAGGCTGGGAGAGCTCCTGAGACTCTGACTTGAACAACTAGTGTAAGTGGGAATGAGTAGATCTGGAGGAAAGAACTGAGTTCAGTCACTTTGAGAAGCTGCCAGATGGTCTTGCACCACAAATTATCCAGGGCCAAGGAGCTCCAAATAAAAATGTCCTAGTGTGAACCTGAGAGTTGTTAGCAACACATCCTGTTGCACACCGTGAGAATGGCTGGGGGTCTATGGAAGAGAGAAGAGGCCTGGGGGGTGCTTCGTCGTCAGCTCAGGGAGAGGAGAGAAGCTGCCCAGAGCAAGCTCAGCCTTCTCTTCTGCATTCCAGCCTGCTCTGTCTCTGAAAATAGGCTCTGGGGTCCATCCCACAGACATTGTCCAGCCCAGGGAGGAGCCTAACTGTGATCACCGAGTGCAGCTGCTTTTAGCAAGTCCACAGCAGCTCACCTTAGTCTTGCAGTCATTGCAGCCATCCCCTCAGCCTCCTCAAAATGATGGCTGCCAAGTCACCTTCTTCTCCTAAGCTAAATGATAGTCCTCCTTTTTTTCTTATTCATTTGTTTTAAGATTGTCTCTCCCTGTATAATCCAGGTTGGCCTCAAACTTGCAATCCTCCTGCCTCACCCTCCCTAGGCTGGCGCAACTAGGCCTGCCTAGGCTTTCTTTTATTACTGAGTTATCCGTTGTAGTCCCCGATGTATCCATGGAATCTGATGTTTGACATGTGCCAGATTTATGGTCTGGGGCAAGTTACTTAGCTCTCTGTGCTCAGGTTTCCTTGCCTGCATACTGGAGCTATTAACACAATGTCTGCCTCAAGGTTTGTGAGGATGGAATGAGTTTATTCATGGACAGTGCCCAGAACAGTGCCTGGCAAGTAAGTGTTTAAGAAATAAGGGAAGTCATCATTATCATCCGTCGCTTTTTCATGATAATATTCCAAATCATCCCACCTAATTAGAATTTGTTATGAGGAATCTGTAGAGCTGGGGTGTCATTCAGACAGAGTGCTGTATCTAGGTAGCATGCATGAGGCCATGGTTCAGACACCAATACTGCAGAAGGAAAAGAGAAAGGAAAAGAGGGAGGGAAGAAACTACAGAGAATAGACAGGAGCTAGTTTGCAAACTGTGAGAAAACCATGAACCCAAAAGAAGAAGAGCCAGGACTAGGTGAACAGAGGAGGAGCTTATGCCTTTAGCCCAGTTCAAACAGATTTCTTCCTTTATTGTTTATATAGCACACTCCTAGAAAAGTCTCACTGGAGGGAGAGTGCTGCTGTAGGGGGAAAAGGAACCTTGGCTAAGCTCCCGATCAGGGTGGTGTGCTTGCCCCTCTCCACCACAGGCAAAGCCAGAAATAACTTGGATTCTGTGCCTGCTGGGAACCAGGTACCTGCTGCACTCCACAGGGAAACAGAGTAAGAGAGCTCTCTGCCTCCAAGTAGTTAATACCAAATAGGCATGAGCCAAGCCTGTGCCCTGTGCTGTGGCAGCGGAACAGAACACACGCAGCACCCCAGGGCTCCTGGGAAGTCCTCCCAGAGGTGACAGGATCTCAACGGGCAGCAGTAACAATGTCCACAGAGAGAAGCATCCTTTCTCGTCCTCTGCCTCGGTCAGTTAACACAAATAATGAGCAGCTTCCATGCCGCACAGAGGAGTTAGCGTGTGGCCCCACGTGCCTGTGGCAGAGGCGCTCCTTTAACTGATTGGCAAGCCATCACTGGAAGCCCGGAGAGACGTGATCTCTAAGCAGAATTCGCTCTCGGTTTCCCGTATTTTCAATAGCTCATTAGGGCAGATTGGCCTGCTTACATTTTGTTACTGCTGTTATCAGAGGAATCTTTCCAAAGAAGACGTTACAGCACACGTTGCTGCACTGTCGTTGGAAAGCCTGAATTTATTTTTCAAGGGTTTAATACACAGCGACTGATTTGATGTATGCCAATGTGTGGGTCCCAGCACCTCGCCATTCTCTGCCTGCATAATTTAAGGTGACAGTTCAGCCCTGTCAAACTAAAATGTAAGTGAAATTCCTCAGCTATTTATAAAACATCAAGAAAATAGAATTGTATCAGCAAAAGATGGGTCTTTTGTATTACTAAGCCACAGGACGATTTTCCGATGATAACTAACAGCCACGGGAGGCGCTTGGTGTCTGGAAAACATAGTCACCTATTGCCATAAACAGGGTATCCCACAACTCAAGCACAAACTGTAGGCAAAGCCTGAAACACAGGTTATTGACAACTTTTGCATTTTTTTTTAATCCCCTGAGATTAGGTTCCCCTGAGAAAGTGGAAGTTACCCTTGTAAACAGAGCAAGCTTTAGCCCGATGGATGACCTAGTTGCTATTTTGCAGGGTTTTAGCACTCTGGCCAAACATTACGTGCAGGTCTGGACATATCCCGTCTGCGTCAGCAGACACATTCCTAGGGAAGCGCCGGTCAACGCTAGTTTTTTTCTAATTTGCTAATGACTTGATGGTTTTAAAAACCGGGTGAAACGCAGCGCAGAAAGCGAACGCACGCTCAGCCTGGGCAGCGTAGCGCGCAGCCGCGTCGCGGTTCCGGGAGGAATCTGGTCGGAGCCCCGCCTTTGTGGGCGGTCCCGGCGCTGTCTATCATGCAGGCCCCACCCCCGACGCATCCGACCCTTGGGCCGCGGGCCCCGCCCCGGCGCCGGGTTCTTACGTCACCGTCTGCGCTGCGCCCAGTAGAAACAGGAAGTGGGACCAAAACAAAGGAGCGGCGGCCGGGAGTGGACGTTCCTGATCTGGTGTCCCTTCCGCGTACGCTCCGGCCCTGGCCGCTGACCCCAAGGAGCCGTCCGACCATGTCCAACATGGAGAAACACCTGTTCAACCTGAAGTTCGCCGCCAAGGAACTGAGCAGGAGTGCCAAGAAATGCGATAAGGAGGAGAAGGCCGAAAAGGCCAAAATCAAAAAGGCCATTCAGAAGGGCAACATGGAAGTTGCGAGGATACATGCCGAAAATGCCATCCGCCAGAAGAACCAGGCGGTGAATTTCTTGAGAATGAGTGCGCGGGTCGATGCGGTGGCTGCCAGAGTCCAGACGGCGGTGACGATGGGCAAAGTGACTAAGTCAATGGCCGGTGTGGTGAAGTCGATGGACGCGACGTTGAAGACCATGAATCTGGAGAAGATCTCTGCTTTGATGGACAAGTTCGAGCATCAGTTTGAGACGCTGGACGTCCAGACGCAGCAAATGGAAGACACGATGAGCAGCACGACGACGCTGACCACTCCCCAGAACCAAGTAGATATGCTGCTCCAGGAAATGGCAGACGAGGCGGGCCTCGACCTGAACATGGAGCTGCCGCAAGGCCAGACCGGTTCGGTGGGCACGAGCGTGGCCTCGGCCGAGCAGGATGAACTGTCCCAGAGGCTGGCCCGCCTCCGGGACCAAGTGTGATGGCAGAGCCCGCCGGGGTCCCCTCTTGCACGTCGGAGAGAGAGACCTAGAAACATGTCAGAATGCAGTGACGCCCTTCCTTCTATCTTTGGGATTTCAGCCCTCTCCAGACACGTGAAGAACGTCCAGTCTTCTCCACCCTTACCTGGACTTTTTAAGTTCTGTGTAGCTTGTGACGATGTGTATTTTTATAGCTGCCTTTAACAAAACTGGTTAATTTGCTTTCTATGAATCTCAAAAATTCGCTCAGAACTCTAGTCCTCATGTATTCATTTTTCCACTTAGAATTATATATTGAAGTTTTATTTTAGTGTGGTTGGTGATACATAGAATGATAAGTGGTGAATAAAAATTAAAGAAGGGGGAATGATTGGTTACAAGACTATAAACACTTTGTTCAACTTATTCAATGAACAGTGCTATTATATAGATATATTCTTTGGGTTTTTTTTTTTTTTTTTCCTGGTCTTGCCATCCAAGCAAGACTTAATTGACTATTAATTTATTCTCATAATTTACACTAAAATTACCTTAGAAAATTTTTGCATAATACTGTTTACATTCTGTAAGCTCATGTGATAATGGAGTTTGTGTAAGTGGGAAAATGCCACATAACTTCATTTGTTATCAGGAAAAATTAAATTTGTTCACTTATATTTTCTATTTAAGTAGTTTTTACAAGACTTAGAAGGTTAACATTTGACAATTTCTAGTGATTTTCCTATGTCAACACTTTAATTACACATCTGATAAAGTATGTTAATTAGCATGACAGTCATATTACACATTTAACATTGCCAAAGAACTGTTGATTCATTTGGATAAACCCTGGGACATGTGTTTCTAGGTTTTGTTTTGCTTTAACAACCAAAACTAGAAATAAAATTAGAACTGCATTTTAAGTTCTAATTATTTGCCTTTATTATTTTGTCTTAAAGCAGCAACTTTTTATTTCAAACCTCAAAAAAATTAGGTTGGAATGTGTTAGCCATGCAAAGCTTTCATTGACAGCCAGCTAGAAGTCTGGGAAGAAGGCGGCAGGATTAGAAGGAGAGAGGCTACAGGCCAGCTGTGACCTCCACCTTCCCGGGAATGGGTGCATATAATTCCCTGGCTGAAAAGCAAAGCATGTTGCTACCACTTTCTCACAGCCTCAAACATGGAGAACAGCGACTTGCTTTTCCTTGGCAAGTATATTAACCTAAGTTAAATACTTACAAGGTTGTTTCTGTTTATTTTTAATCCCCTCTTTTCTTAACTGGAAGTTTTCTCCAGAAGAGAAACTAATTACAGGAACTCTTCTAAGCCCCCTGAGAGCTTCATTTTTAAAACGTGCTTTCCAGTGTGAGTGAATATTGAAGGGAAATCCAGGTGTGTGAGATAATACTGGTCCTCATAGTTAAGTTGTGATTTGTTTTGCTTTGGTTGTGCTATGGACTGGACATTACTCAGAAGTCTCCTATAAGAGCACCTGTTGTTGCCCAGCATCTTCCCCAAAGGCCCTTTAGCAGGCCTTGTGTCCTCTTGTCTGCACAGTTGTGCAGAGGCAGCTGTGTGAGTACAGCATATGTCTTACCCCTCTTTAGACTGGAAAAACATGACTAATTACAATTTTAAAAATAGCTCAGTGTTGAACCCTTTGGTAAACTGAAGACCCTTTTATACTGCAAAGATTCCCATCAAAATATATTTTGTGAGATTAAACAATGCTGTATATGGTTGAACTTTCTTAAAATATGTTCATTATTTCATACTATACGAATGTACATTTTTGTGAACCATAAATATTATTTTCAAAAGCACTACGGGCCTATGAATTATTTCCTCACTTTTGAAATTGATGCAGTTTCGAAATGTAAACCACAGAAATGTGTTAAATAATTTTTAAACTGCATGTTATTGCATGTGAGAATGGATTCTATTTAAAAAGCTATTTAAAGGCTGGGAGTATAGCCCAGTGGTAGAACACGTGCTTACATTGTGTGAGGTCCTGGGTTGGATCCCCAGTACTACAAAAAGGAAAAAAACAATTAAAAATCTACTTAAAGAATTCGGGCTGACAGAGTGGCTCAAGTAATAGATGCCTGCCTCACAAGCATAAGCCCCTGAGTTCAAACCCCAGCACCGAAAAAAGAAAACTAAAAGACAATTCAGAGGTGGATTTGGTCCAGAGGACATGATTCTTCTCACTTGCCTTCAGTCTTGCCACCTGGACTCTTGCTTGGCCAGCATGGCATTTTCTTGCATATTGCTAGGATCCTATTACTTCTTTACTGTGATTGTTTCTTCACAGCAACAAGATTGTTTTTCTATGTGACCTGCCTTAGACCAAAGACAAAGAAGCCAACTCAAATGTACCATGGAAGTAATCTTCCATGCCACTACTAGTACTAGTTTCAGTCTCTTAACATTTTTGCCCTAAATGCACAATTTTGCCGGGTGTGATGGCCACATATGTGCAGTGGAGAGGCTGAGGCAGGAGGACCATGAGTTTGAGACTGGCCTGGCCTATATAAATGCAAAAAAGAAAATGCTTCATTATTTCTGTGCTTCATTTAGAAGTAATGGGGGAAAAATAGAGTGGACTGATTCACAAACTTAACTTTCCTCTCCACTTTATTTTAGTGCAGGAACCCAAGTGTGTCAGTTGGAGAAGTGTCTAAAACTGTTCTTCCTGCTGTCTTTGATTTGGAAAAAACTACATAAGATAAGCAATCCTCTAATGACCTTGTTGACACAGTATAGAGGCAGCTGGACCATCACTAAAAGCAGAAGTGAGGAATTTCTCTGCAATACACACATCACCCTCTTGGGGGCATTTATGTAGCCAAAATCCTAAACTCAAGAATTTAGTAAACTGTTAGCAAAAGCTACAAACCAAGGATGTTAAACAAATTGGTTAAAAGGTCTCTGTAATTAGGTTTTTTTTCTTTTTCTTTTTTCTTTTTTTGTTTATTGTAATTTTTTTAATCAGCTTCCTGGAATTAGCAAACTGCCTGCCTGGTTTCCCCAAGTTCATTTTTCTACAACTAGATTGTCAGGTCCACCAGGAGCAGAACCAGTCAGGGTCTGTCTTGGTCTGGATTCCTGGGCCTGGTATGGTACTCACACACTGGGTTCCTGGCAGTGTCTCTTGGAGAACACATGCCTCCCCTGGTGTTCTTGTGGTGGTGTCCAGAGCTCTCTGATGCCAGTAGACACAGAGGAGTGAGCACAGGCAGTGCCCTTGTATGGATGCCAGCACCAGGAGAAGGGGTTCCCATGTCCACAGCAGTTAGCATCTTGGAGCAGGTAGGATTTAATCTCAGCTTTCAAAAGAAAATGTGGCGATAACACAGGATCTAAGAGGCCAAAAACTGCATGAAGATTGGGCCAGACTGGATGTTTACTTGCTGTCACAGAATGGAAGACTGGACCGATTGCATAGGGCTAAGAGGTGGAGAATCATGACTGGTTGTCCAGGTATAGAGATCAGAGCACAGAGAGGAGGCAGAGAAGGCTGGGAGCAGTGGTCACTATGGATCAGACCACCTGGAGACCTCCTTCCACTGCAGACTGATTCAGGGTGTCTACAGCCAATGTGGGTGCTGCCAGTGCTGGCCTGAGGACCCCCTTTGAGGAGTGCGGCTCTAGCCCTGGCTGTGCATCAGAACTGCCTGGACTTCCTTGCCGCATGGGTAATATATTTTTCTCCACCAAGACTTTTGTATCTTATAGGTAAGCATCACGAATTAAATTTCACTAACACTTTGAGAAAAGTTTTTTACTCACCTTGACACTTAACAGAATTATTTTCATCTTTTCATGACCATCTTGTCCCCACTTCATGATCATCTCTATGGCCATACGAACTCTGACTTTTGAGTTGTTCTAATGGGAAAACAGACAACAGATGGAGTATAAATAATTATGGTTGGGAGGATTGTTTTGGGGGTGGCAGTGTTTGTGTTCTTTTGTTCTGGTTTTGATTTCTGTCAATATCAGCGATGAGACTAAAAACATTTCTGCAAACACATATCCTCATTTATAGCAGAAAATAATGAAAAATATCAAAGTAGATTGCTTTTAACTACTTTCTATAGTGGCCACAATGAAAGTGATTTCTTTGCAGTTGTAATTTGCTGGTGTTTTACAACTCTGTATATAGCAAAGGGCATTCTTAGATTTGCTTAATTTTTCTGAATGGCTTGTAACAGCATATCTATAACCCTTTAAAATGTAGTCATATGCAAATTTCTGTGTGTAATCTGGAAGACCCTTTTTAAAACTTTTCTTTTTGTTTGGTGGGTTTTTTTGTTTGTTTGTTTTTGGTGGGACTGGGCTTGAACTCAGGGTTTTCACGCTTGCAAAGCAGGAACTCTACTACTTGAGTCACACCTCCAGTCCATTTTGCTCTGGCTATTTTAGAGATAGAGTCTCACAAACTCTTTGCCTGGGCTGCCTTGAACAGCGGTTCTCCTGACCTCAGCCTCCCAAGAAGCTAGGACTACAGGTGTAAGCCACCGGCGCCCGCAAAACTCATCTCCATGTAATAATCTTAGGAGCCCCAATTTGAAGACTTGCTTCTACAGCATGCTTGGAAATAGAGCAAGTGGCAGAGCTGGAAGGAAGCTTGAATACCAGCTTGGAGAGGAGGGTGGGGAAAGACCAACACCTCTGCCACCTTTGCCTTTGTCATGACATCTCAGAGCCCCCCGCATCTTTAATCCTGTGCAGGAAGTTCCCACCACTTCCTCTGGAAGGCGTCTTAATTACACCCCTCAAGAACCTCGGATGTACTTTTGTCAACCGTATCTCACTCTTTCTACTTATACTTGTGATTACCATCTGTATAAATTCACCCACCTACCTCTGCCCTACGCACATTCGATCTTACATTGGTTGTTTCCCAAACTCTATAGCCAAGGGCTTCGGAGTTCATTTTCAGCTCCTTCCAGCCCTTCTTGTCAGAGCTGAGTAGTTTCTGTGTCACACGCTTAGCACTGCAGCTCTCTGCCGAGAAGACAGAGCAAGTCTGGATCAAATTATCCAGGCACCTGACACACGTCGGGGAAACCAGGGTTGTCCGGGCCATATTCCAGAGCCCTCCCCACCAGGGCTGAAATTTCTTTCACTTTGTCACACACTCCAAGTCCTCTTTGATTCATTTCTAGGAAGTCAAGAACAGGAAGTGTCCTTCCCTGATGCTTCCCCACTCCCCGCATTGGAGGCCAACAACCACTAAGCCAAATAAAATCGCCCTTAGTTTTCAACCCCCGCCTTGGGCAAGGGCAAGGGCTAGGCCAGGGCCCTCCCTCCTTCAGATCACCTGGTTTCTGGGCTGCAGTAGTATCTACCTGAATTTTCAGTTCCTGTTCCAAAGAGGCCAGCGGTAGATAAGGGGCCCTTTGGCTTCTCAGTGGCCCTATCACCTGGGCCACAGCTCTGCAGTCTCTTCAGGCCAGTGCAGTCCCAGATATCACCCTTTATAACTTGCCTTCCCGGCTCTTCCAGCTAAAACAGCCTCGTTCCTGACCATGGGGGTCACAGTTGTCCCCACCACTCCCTGTTCCTCTGACAGACCATCCCTAACACTGGAAGATCTGTTCTTGCCCTTCCTACATTCTGCTAATTTCTCACCTGCAGCCAGGGCTGCCTCTTGTTGCAGCTATGACATAGGTTTTGTGCCTACCCAAGGGTACATAGATGAAGGCTACCAAAATGTCATCTCAGCACTAAGGAACATTTGGGACTTAGTTTCTCAAAAGGAGGGAGTCAAAGACGGCCAAGGGAACTAAGTGGTCATTCTGGGTCTTTGGCCAAGCAGTTCATAAAAACGGTCCCTTTGTTTCTATAGAAGCAGGGAAAGGACTTCCCACTGTTATCAGAACTGGTGATGCTCCACGGAAGAAGCTTCCAAATAGAGAGGAGGCCTCTGCCTGGCCCTTGGGTACCAAGTTTACTCTGTTGCAAAAAAAGAATTTTAGAACACATCAAGGTAGAAACCAAGAAAGCTTATTAGCAAAGAAAAGCAAAGGGGAGAGACACAGTGCACATCGGTGCAGGCACATCTGATAACAGGTGCCATGAGTAATCTAACAGTGGTTTGGGGATTTGCTTCAAATTTACCTTAGGAAAAGTGCTCCTTTTTGTTCTGACACCTGCTATATTTAATCACTTTTACTATTTCACCAGTTAGGCCCAAAGACTTTAAGGTCATCTATGTCAGTTACTATGACATAGATGTTTGAACATCCCTTCAAACAAAGAATGGGTCCTGCCAGATGCTCCTTTTAGGACAGGTGTTCATTCTTACAATAAGTATTTTCCTTTGTAAACACTTGTGTTCAGAGGAGTCATTTTTCCAAAGTATTTTTTCCCAGGATCTCTTTCTTTAAGACATCCTTGCTCATTCCCAGAGCACACTAATTATTTGGACAAGTGAGCAAGGTCAGAGAGAGGGAGCTGCTCTTTCCCACTTTTTTCCTTTTTACTAAATGGAATGCTACAGCTTACTGAGGGGGTATAAGACTTCAAGCAAAGACAACAGTGACTGTGTGCTTTTAATCAAGACATTCATTAATACAGTGTTCATCTCTGAATTCCTGGCTGCCATTTCCCATGCCTCTATCCTTCTCACCATTCTGTCTTACATTCTGTCTGTGCTGGGCCCTAGAGAGTAACAGACAAAGATGGTTCATCAGGAAAATGCACCCAGGGACATGGACTTGGAGAGTGCTCAGTTGCTTTACAGCACATACCCTGGATGGCCCAAGGTCCACAAGTGTGAAGGTGGCCATGCCTGCTCAGCTGTTCACCTTCCTTGTGCAGGGCTGGTGCCTCACCCTCCTGATACCCACGTGGATGCCCTAGACAGAGAACAAGCATTGCTCAGACTTTCCCTTGCTCTTCATTCTCCTTCCAGAAGCCTTCACTACCCCTCTTTTCCCAGAAGTGGGCTCTGTTCACCAGTTAAGCAGCCCCTGGACTCTTCCCGTGTCAGGAAATCTTCCTGAGCCCCCTGGACGTGGGCTGGGTCTCCAGCCCCTTACTCAAGTGTGAGAGGAGGAGGGGAGAGAACATTCATTCATATCATGAATATTTCCTGGGATCGGGTCCTGTGCTGGGTGTTGTGGACACTGGAGCCACTAAAGACCTATTCTCTGGGTCTCACATTGGTAGAAGAGATAGATAATAGCACATCAATGAGTAAATGAAAATGTGCCATGCATGCTGGAACACTCTGTAGGCCAACAGAGCCAGGCCACATGGAGCTGGTGGGTGATGTTTGGGACAGGTGTGGCTGTGGCTTCTGCACAGGAAGAGATTGAAAGATGGTGTCAAGTCGCTTTACCTACCGCATACCACACCGATCCAGCTTCCCTGTCTTTAAACTGACTTCTCCCTCCCTCCGTGGGTCTTCTAGGGCCATTCAGGCTTCGGAGGGTCAGTCCCCAAATCTGTACCAGAGGAAATCTGCAGACGGACGACACACACTGTCACCCACTTATCCATCTTCCACACACATGAAGTTGTTCACACACTCCCTTACACACATCTCCAATCATTCACACACACTCACATTCTCACACAGACACAAATACATTACAACTCACAGTCAGTCATACACACTCATACACTTATGCTGTTACACACACACACTCACAAAACTTTTAGTTCCTATTAGGAACTTATTACATTAAAGGAACACCTGGCACTTCCATTGCAATGCCTTCTACTAGCTTGTCCTTGGTTTCTTTTTTTTTTTTTGCAGTACTGGGGTTTTGAACTCAGGGCTTCCTCTTGCTAGACAAGCACTCTACCACTTGAGCCACACCTCCAGCCCCCAGTTTGGCCATGAAAACGAAGCCCCATGCCCTTCCCAGTTCCCGAGTGGCCGCCACCCCCAACCCATAAAGACCAGGAAAAGGGAAGGAAGGGGGTTTAAGGAAAAAAAAAGCAAAACAGAATGCAGACTTCTCCTCTGTCGGAACTCTGAGCTACCTAAACACAGGGAGGAAAGCAGAAATAATCTCAGCTCCTTACCTGCGCCCTGCCTCACTGTCCCATCAGCACACCCCCAGCCCCAGCGGAAAGTGAGCTCAACACATCTGGCTTTCCTTGCAGCTTCCTGGAGAGGATCGACAGTGTCAGCCTGGTGGACTACACACCCACAGACCAGGTACGTGGAGGTAGAACCACCAGGACCAATCTGAGGGATTATTTTAAAATAGACTAAGAAACAAATCCTCTAAATAACTACTGCCAGCACTCGCTGTTCTGCCTTGCATGTGCAGAGCCCAAGCCCTTGCCGTGTGCCACCAAACCCGAGCCCTTGCTCCCTCAACTTGCCTCACCAGTACATTGTACAGCTCCATGCTGCCTGTGAGGAAAGTCATCAGACTAGAAATACTGCGTTCTGCTCCTCATGGGCCACCAACAGGAAAGCCTGGCTCCATCTCCTTTCACATACTGGGCCCATTCTGCTTGTGACCCCAGGACTGAGTGCTGTATTCCACAGGACATTATTCTCCAGAGTGCCCCAGAGTGTCTCCCTTGGGCTGACCTAAAAAAAAAAGAAGAAGAAAGAAACGTGTAACTATCACATAGGGGTTCTTGGTGCCCTTTGTCCTTGAAGTACCTGCAGAGATATGGAGAACCTGGGGAAGAGGGATCAATTTAGGACCCCAGGCACCTCTGGAGCTAGCGTGTACCACATGTGCCAGAGATGGCAGCTTTGTGAAACTGCAAGGCTTTCTCCTCCTCTTAGAGCTAGATCACTTTAATCTTAGAGAGATCATAACTGCAGGGAAGAAAGAGGAAGTCTAAAATCAGGTAGCATCCAGCCGGAAGATCCATGTTTTACCAGTGCAGACCTATACCTTCTTTGGCTTCCACCCAAAGGATTTCACATCTCCATGGAGGCTTTGGGTTGTCGCAGCAGAATGCAGGCAGATTTTCTCCCCACAATAGTAAGCACTGGGATTTGGTCATCAGGTGCATAAGAATCAGCATGAATTGCTTTCTTAAAAAGTCTTAAGGAAAATAAAAACACAGTTACTGAGTCTTTAAGAAGCAAACCAATATATTAAGAACGGTATTTTCTGGGGGATAAAATGATCATTAGTCTGAGTTTTGAGTTATTACCGTTTGTTTTTTACAATAAAAGTTGACCTTTGAAATTGCAATTATTGTAGTTACACCAAGGGCTCCTTTTGCTTCTCTTCTTGCCCCAGGACCTCCTCAGGTGCAGAGTGCTAACATCAGGAATTTTTGAGACCCGATTCCAAGTGGACAAAGTGAACTTTCAGTGAGTATCTTGTTAACAGGTGGCTGTGACAGGGATGGTGTCTGGAATCCTAGGACCCAGCCCAGAGGAAGCAGAGTGGGAGCTGCAGGGCCTTGAAACTGGAGGGATCCAATCCTGGAAGGGTGAGGGCAGCTTGCTAGGGGTCAACTCTTGCAAGGTTCAAACATTGCTTTTTACCACTAGCTCCCAAGTAGACATGAGAGCCAAAAAGGAAATGTGTCTCACCTCAGTTGACATGGGTCCTTATTAAGTTAGGAGTTTGAGAGCTGAAAGTAGCAACCTCTTGTCTCCAGTGTTGTCTTCCAGGTTGTCCACACACAAACTGCTGAATGAGTACACTTTCTTCATTTTTAATTAAAAGTTAATGATTGGGCTGGGGGTGTGTGACTCAAGTAGTAGAGGGTCTGCCTAGCAAGCATAAAGCCCTAAATTTAAACCCCAGTACTGCCAAAAAAAAAATAATGGTAATAAGTTAATTCTTCTTCCCCAAAGCCTTTTCCTCATTCTGGCTTCAAGATCATGACCCGAGGCCTCCCTGCTTCCCACCCAGACCATCTGAGCAAGAGGCTGGCTGGTCTCTCCCCACCGTGAAACGACTCTCCCCAAAGCACAACTCACATCTTTATCCCTTTGAAAAAGATTCAAAGACTTATCACTGCCTCTGCTCCCTAAAACCCAGGCCTTCCAGCATGTGACCCAGGCCCCTCCCAACCCTGCTGCTCTCCTCTACCTGCCACCTACCTCACCAGTTTGGACTATGTCATGTCTTCTAAGTTCACCTGGTTCTTCTGCCCCTACTCCTTTGCTCCTACCCTATTCTCTAAGCCCCAGATGCTATTGGAGCTTAACGCCCTTTGAATCCAAGCCCATGGTGACCCCTGGAATTTCTGCAGCAGCTACTGTGTGCCCAGAACTCAGTGACATCCTGCCTTAGCCCTTTCCCAAGTTACTCTTGGTATGTGTGACACACACCTGACTCCACAACAAGTCGATGGTGGGGCCATGAGAGCAGGAGTTTTGAGAGCTATGTGCACTGGCTCAGCTCTCCCAGTGCACTGGTGACAGTCATCACTCAGGATCTCCTGACAACACAGTATAATGCCATGGTCAGCACCCGAGTAAAACCCGGCCAAGTTCATGGTCACTGAGCTGCAGGACACAGTGCTGCCCACATCATAGCCAGGTCCTGGTGGAGGGGACCCATCAGCTGTGACATTTTCCCTGCCAGTGGGGTTGGTTTTAAGGCACCCTGTCAGGCACCGTGTGTGTGCTAATGCAAAGCATGCAGGTTACTCTGTTGGGATCAGTGTCCTGGCCCTGGTAAGTCTGGGGAAGGGAAATCTGAGAGAGAGAGCCACCTAGGTACAGAGAGGCTGTCCCACAAGGCAAGGAAAGGGTGTGTTTCAAGGAAAGGGTGCCCTGGGCAGGTGGCCAGGAGAAGAGGGCTGGAGTCTGGCCTGTTGAACTGCAGGGCGTAGCAGAGAAACACAGAGTGCAAACTGGGTGTGGGCACCTGGTCAGGCCAGATCAGAGAGCTCAGGGCTGGGCAGAGGTGTCTTGTGACCGAGAGGGATGTGAGCATAAACCAGGAGGGGGTGACATAGGCCCTGACAGCTAGAACAAGTCTGCCCAGCTGCAGACTTAGCACAGACTCAGAGAAGCCCAGGTGAGCAAGGGGCCAAGTAAACAAGAACCACGCTACTTATTAGGCTCCTACTGTGTGCCTCTACACACCGTGCAGGCAGCTGAATCCCTCACCCCTACAGTCATGCTGTAGGTGACAGAAGAGGAACTGAGGCTGCATAATTTGGAGGCCTAGATCCCGTGGGACTGACAGTGCCCATGAGACATTGTGAGCAGAGAAAGAAAGTGAAGAACTGAGTCCCTGCTTGCCAATGCCCTGAATCACACCACCTTCCTGTTGCTTTTCACAGCATGTTCGATGTGGGCGGCCAGAGGGACGAGAGAAGAAAGTGGATCCAGTGCTTTAACGGTGATTGTCGTACTCTCCAGGCAGCGGGCTGCGGCTGTCTTGCTGTCCCGTCCACCTTCTTCTGAATTAGATAGTCGTGTCCACGTATCATGCAAAGCGCAGTGCTCCGTAGACTGGCATGCGCCCTCCTTGAGACGAATGCTGTAACTGGAGGACCTAAGCCCCCAGCTTGCAGTGGGTAGGCTCTTCGGTGTGTGCCGCAGCCCAGCTGGGCACCTGTGGCTCACACTGTTATCCTAGCTGCTCAGGAGACAAAGATCAGGAGGGTCATGGTTGGAAACCAGCCCAGGCAAATAGTTTGTGAGACCCTATCTCAAAAAAGTCCTTCACAAAAAGGGGCCGGTGGAGTGGCTCAAGGCGTAGACTGTGAGTACCGCAAAAAAATAAAATACACCAGCCAGTGTTCAGGTCACTCTCATCTCACTGAATGACAAAATCCTGGATCTGAGTAGCTATTGGGTGTGTACCTGACCATAGCCCCACAGTGACTGTCATCACCCAACTAAGGTGCTTCCATCTTTCTCTTTCCCTCTACCAAGATGTTACCGCCATCATTTACGTCGCAGCCTGCAGTAGCTACAACATGGTGATCCGGGAGGATAACAACACCAACAGACTGAGAGAATCGCTGGACCTTTTTGAAAGCATCTGGAACAACAGGTTATAAAACAATAAATTCAGACGCACCACTGGATTGCAGATCTTTTATTTAAAAGACATTCATAGGCCAGGTGCAGTGTCTCATGCCTATAATCCCAGTTAATTGGGAGGCAGAGATTGGGAAGGTCAAGGTTCAAGGCCAGCCCAGACAAAGATTTAATGAGGCCATCTCAATCAGTAAGCCGGACATGGCAACCTGTGCCTGTAATCCCAACTATAGGGGAGGCTGTAGGTAGGAGGATTGTAGTCCAAGACCAGCCCCAGGCAAAGACTTGAGAACCTATCTGAAAGATAACCAAAGCAAAAAAGGGCCAGAGGTGGCTCAAGTGGTAGAAGGCCTGCCTAGCAAGCATGGAGCCCTGAGTTCAGACCCCAGGATCACAAAAAAAAAAAGGAAGAAAGAAAGAAAAGTTTCTTCTTGAACTGTTTAGGAAAAAAATGTCACCAAAGAGGACAGGAAATATAAATTGACCTTGAAAAAATGTGGATTATTGGAAAAGTAAAGTAGTTCTCTATCAAGTGTTGAAATGTCATCCTCAATTTTATGGTATCAAGACCATAAATGGGAAAGAAATAGGGCCAGGAAGCAGCAGGTGTGCAGAGTGCTCTGGAGCCACTGTAAATTCATACACACGCAAACTCAGACATGTAGTCACACAGGCATGTTACCACCGTATTGCAGTTTAAGAGACGATTTCAAAACATGGTAAGATCACGGGATGTAGCTCAGTGGTAGAGTGCTTGCCTGGCCCTGTGTTCGATCCCCAGCACCACACATACATACACACTCAAGATATGTGAGAGTAGAAAAAATCCTGGGCATAAAAACATAAAAATTCTAACAACAATTGTCTCTGGCTGTAATTTACATCTGATTTTTCCTATATCTTTTTCCAAAATTTAAGAATATTGTAGAAAAAATAATAATCTTAAAATAAAACCTTTATAAATATTATACATTGTATAACTAGAAGAAAGAGCAAAACTGTTTCCACTTGAAGGGGAAATGGGTTGGGGGATTTTTTGTTTAGTTTTTTTAGTTTGTTTGGTTTTTTGCAGCACTGTGGCTTGAACTCAGAGCCTTGTGGCTGCCAGGCAGGCTCTCTACCACTTGAGCTACACCCCAGCCCGGTGTATTTTCAGTTAGGGGAGAATTCCTGCAGACTCATCAGTCAGCTTGGTTCCTGGAATTAAGAAAATTTCTGGAGTTTTGCTGATTTGATTTGCACAGCAAAGTTTCTTTTATGGCTGTTCTCAGCTCCCATTTCATGAAACTGAAAGAACAGAGAGCTTTCCATACTTCTCTGTCCCTGGGCCTCCTCCCTTTAGCTTGTCCCTTGAAGAGGGTGAGTCCAGATCTGATGACATCATGTCCCACCTGGGAGTTTAGTCATGCTGTACGCAGGTGTGAGGAGTTGTTATTAACACTTAACTTCTCCCCATGTGAGTTTTCTGACTCGTTAGTAGTAAATTACACCACAAAAGTCCAAATGTATTCATTGCACGAATAGATCTCAGCTTTGGTACCAATGCACTTAAAGTTTAGAAAGTGCTGAAAAACTAAATTAACCATCAGTGCTTACTTGTCATTGCTTGTAGATAGGATGGGAACACTGGCGTATCAATTTTCAACCTGAACATTTCAGGAAAATGACAATGTGACCACCACTTCTTTCTTTCTTTTTTTTTATTTCTCTTTTTGAGTGTCGGAGCTGGGGATCAAATGCAAGCCCTAGTGCTGGGCAGCGCTGTTCATCGAGCCGCACCCAGGCCGGGCACTCGCAGGCACCACACACAGCAGCACACCTGAGACTGTGTCCCTTGCTCCTTTCCAGGTGGCTGCGGACCATTTCCATCATCTTGTTCTTGAACAAGCAGGATATGCTGGCAGAAAAGGTCTTGGCAGGGAAATCAAAAATCGAAGACTATTTCCCAGAGTATGCAAATTACACTGTTCCTGAAGATGGTAAGATTTCTAAACGGGCCTCGCCATTGAGGAACACAACTGTGTTTTCAGTAATTCAAACCCATCTGATGAGTCTAAGAAATTCCACTAATTTAAATCAATCCTCTCTTCCTCTGCCCCATCCTTAAGAAGTACAGGACAGGGCACCTGTTCCCGGTCCAAATGCTAGGGACCACAAATGTTTTGGATTTCAGAATTTTTTGAATTGTGGAACATTTGCATATGCATAATAAGATATATGGAGAGTGAGACCCAAATTGTGCACACAATTCATTTGTTTTGTATGCACTTTATACAGTTGTTCAGTGTGCCTGTGTTTTGACTACGACCTCTCACATGAGGTCAGGCATGGAATTTTCTACTTGTGGCATCGTGGTAGTGTTCAAGGTTCAGATTCTGGAGCATTTTAGATTTTTTTTTTTTTTCAGTACTGGGGCTTGAACTCAGGGCCTACACCTTGAGCCACTCTACCAGTCCTTTTTTTGTGTGTGTGAGAGGGGTTTTTTCAAGATAGGGTCTCTCAAACCAGGCTGGCTTCGCACTGTGATCCTCCTGGTCTCTACCTCCTGAGTAGCTAGGATTACAGGCATGAGACACCAGCGCCCAGCATTGGATTTTAGATTTTCAGATCAAGGATGCTCAATTTGGTTTCAAATTCCTCTTTAAGATTCTACTGGTAAATGGTTTGGAGTTTGATTTTCCATTCAAATTGTGCAATACAGCCAGGCGCTGGTAGCTCATTCCTGTAATCCTACCTACTCACAAAAAAAAAAAAAGAAAAGAAAAGATTGGTGTAGTGGCTCAAGGTGTAGGCCCTGAGTTCAAGCCCCAGTACTGCAAAAAAAAAAATTTTTTTTGCAGGGCTGTTTGGGGTGTGAACATGTCACTTACCAGGTAAGTCCTTCTCTTTGGTGCCCCTGATTGGGTCTGTTGTGACCAGGCATCTCACTTGACCTCCTCCCAACTGGTAGTTTCTGCTATTTTTCCCATGGGACAAGAGAGATGACATAAAGAGTTCAAGGCCACCCAGGTGGATCTTCAAAGGCAAGGCCTTCCTTGAGGACTCTGTGCCCAGGCCAGTGCTTTCAGCCATGTGTCAGGGCTCCTGTCCTGAGACAGGGCCCTGCACTGAGGCTGGGAAGGTAAACCAGGAAGAGCTTGTCACTCTTGTTCTACTATAGTTTTTCATATGCGCCAGGCCCACAGGGGCTTGTAGGAGGGATTTGTTGAAGGCAAAGTAACACCAGTTCTAAAAATTTGAACCCTGCAATAGATAAAGCCGAATGAAAACGGCCTACCTAGAAAGTAGACTAGAGGTCTTGGGATGTATTTTTATCATCAGTGAGGAGGGAAGAGAAACCTTGCATTCATTTATAATTAAGCTTTCTTGCTCCTCACGTTCGGTTTTCTCTTCTCCATCATGGTGGGTTCCCTACAGAGGTGTATACCTAGTAAAGTCCTGAGTCCCGCTGGCTCTTTTAACAAAGCCCTAAGCCAGGTGGTTCCTTGTGAGAATGGGCCTGGGATCAAGGTCCTGCTCTGGCCTCACAAACCCTCCTTCATCATGAACTGCCTGGGTCACCATCTCACTGCCAGAGCATCAGCATCAGATCAGGTTACACCCAGAGCTCACCATGTCTCTTCTGACCTCACAACCTGAGACTGAGGCAGCACTGGTGCCCCCAGAAGCTGCCAGAGTGTGGCTGCTATTGCCTTCTGAGGCTGGCACCACTGTTGTTGCAGCAGGTCAAGCCTTTCTCTGTCCTCTAAGCCACCTCCTTTCCCTCAACATCCAGTCTAGGTAATAGCTTTGTGGTGTGGAGCCACCTTCAAACATCCCCCTCCTCAGCCTCCACCTTCTTTCCCCACTCGTGGCCTTGGTCCTAGTTCCCCTCATTCCCCTCATCTCAGTAACTGCCATAGCTTCCAGCCTGGCCTCTCTCTATGTTCCTCACCTTTCTAGAGCATTCTCTGAACTTCTGTCACAGCCGTCTTTCTGATATACAACCGTACCCCACTCTGCTCCCTGAAAAGGACACCACCCCCAGTAGCTTAAGCTGCCAGGCCAGGGAATATCCGACAGCTGAGAGACCCAGGTTGCCAGCCATATTGTCACATGCTTACCCAGGTACCATATGACATGTCCCTCTGTGGCTCCCAGGGTGCCCATCTCTCCCTGGCATTGGTAGCACATGCTGGTGGCTTGGACTTACCAGCCACCTCCATGCTTCCCAACTCTGCCTTACTCAGCAAGAAACAGGAACAAAGCATGGGTCTGTGTGACAGCATGGATGATACTCATGGTGAGTGGCAGAACAAAGGAGTTAGGCCAAAACTACAGGCCACATGAATCCATTCATAGAAAGCCTAGAAAATGCCCATCTGGAAGAGTAAACATCTGCCCACAGTGGCAGAGAACATATCAGTGTTGCCTGTGAACAGGACTGGGAAAGAGGGATAACAAAGGGCACAGGCACGCCTTCAGACATGTTGGGGACATTAGTTTTGATCATTATTTTAATTATAATGATAATTTCACACATCAATACATATGTCAGAAGGCATAATCACATTGTACGTCTGAAGCATGTACCGTTTGGCATAAGTTACCCCTCAGGAAAGCCAGCACCTGGTTCCCACCCACAGACCACTGGGCATCTCTAGAGGTGGTGAGCGTCACAAGCCCCCGGTAATTCCCGTGCACAGCTCAGGTGGACAGCCATTTGCTGCGGTTGACTCCCTCAACCCCAAAGTCCTGAGCCTATGCAGGACCAGGGATGGGGTGGGGGAGGTCTTCCTAAGAGTAATGCTGACAAAGCTGGGAGCGCAGCCCCAACAAGCCCACCTCTTAGCTCAGTGCTGAGTGATGCTGACCCTAGGAGGTCAGAAGGCAGCCAGCCTCCTCTCCTTGATAGCTCTGCAGGAGAAGCTGGCCACGGGGCTCCGTGTGATCAGCATTCGATAAGATGCTTTCATTTTCCTTGAGCAGCGATTATCTTGCCCCCAGCCTATCTTAGCCCATTTGCATTTTATGGAAAAATACCTTAGACCGGGTAACTTATATACCACAGAAGGTTATTGCTCCCAGGTCTGGAGGCTGAGAAGTACAAGAGCAAGCACCAAGCAGGTTTGGTGTCTGGCTAGGGCTTTGTAGATTACTGGGTCCCCACATGGTGGAAGGCAGGAACAAGCTCCCTGTCTGTTATACGAGCACTAATGCGTTCATGAGGACAGTCCCCATAACCTAATCGTCTCCAAAGGCCCCACCTTTGGAGTTGTGACCACAGCATTGCCAAAGAAACGTTTGTCAAAGCTGTAAGTATTAAAACAATTTGGGAGGAAATGAAATTTTCATTTTCATTTCTACCTTGCTGTATGCTTATTTTAATGCTATGAACATTCAGCAGTCAGCACAACTTCTTAACTTCTTCTGCACTTCTGTACGGTTCTCTTTGCTTGATATCAGTTAAATAAAGTTTCACCTTCAATTTCTACAGCCACACCGGACGCAGGAGAAGATCCCAAAGTTACAAGAGCCAAGTTCTTCATCCGGGACCTGTTTTTGGTAAGCGGTTTTGTTGACCCATTTTCCCTTCCACCTTGGAGTTCTGTCGCTCTCTGCAGTTTGCAAACGACTTCCTCTTCACCATCTCAGTGGGTCCTCCCCAAATCATGAGCCACACGAAAAGGGACTCCCGAGTCATTTCATGGCTGAGCACACAGAGGTCAGAGAGATTAGACTTCTCATCCAGGGTCACACAGCTTCCCAAGATGGCCTCAAGGGGACAGTACTCAGAAGGGCAGATTTGTTGACTTGTGTTTTCCCAAAAGGACAGCAGAGTCCTTCAGCAGAGTCAGAGCACAGCATTCACACTCTGGTACCCCACGTCCTGCTAAAGCACTAATGGGCTCACATTAAAATGGACTTGCTCAAATTCTGACAAACTTCCATAAAATGTGAAAGAATTGTGCTAATGACTGCCGTATACTCTTCGCCCAGATTGACCAGTTGGTAGAATTTTGCCACATTTGCTTTATCTATATATACTTTTTACAATTTGGTTTTGGCTGAGGGTGGAACCCAGGGCCTTGTGCATGCTAAGCAAACACTCTACCTCTGAGTGCTTGCTTAAATGCCCCAAACCTTGGGGGTATTTTAGGGACAGGCTCTTGCTATGTAGCTCAGGCTGGCCTTAAAACTCGAGATCCTCCTGCCTCTGCCTCCCTTGTGCTGGAATTACAGGCTTGAACAACTACAGCATGTTTTTTACTTTTGAATAAATTACAGTGTATATCAGGCTATGAGGGTTTTTTCTAGTGTAAATCTGGAGCATGTTCCAGGTGTAGGGATAGGTGTAGGGATAGGGATAGTGGCTCAAGTGGTAGAGTGCCTGCCCAGCAAGCATGAGGCCCTGAGTTCAAATCCCAGTATTGCCAAAAAAAAAAAAGAGAAGAAAAAGACTCCAGGGGCACTTGAGAAGTGCTAATGCATCATTCACTTCTGGACAAGTGGGAATTGTGGTCCAGGCAGCCAAGGGATGGCCCCTGCCTGGCTCCTGCTGTTCCCAACCTCCATGCCCCTTGAATGGTTCCCTCTTGAATCCTATAGTGAGTTAGAAAGTAACTCTGGTGAAAAAGCAAGTCCCACCCAGTGATACATCCCTGTAATCCCAGCTACTGAAGAGGAGGCAGGATGATCACCAAGCTCAAAGTCAGCCAGGGCGACGTTAGCGACACCTGGTCTCAAAACTCAGAAGGGCTGGGGGCATGCCTCAAGTGATAGAGCACTTGCCTAGAATGCAAGAGGCCCAGGGTTCAAATGCAGACCCCAAAGAAGAGCAGGAGTTTCCCAAGAAACAGAGGGCAGTACTGAGAAAGCTTCCGCCACTGCTCATTAAATACAGTGAGCCAGCCTCTGTGTTGTCACATTCTCAGTGCCTTTGCTGTTCTCATGAGTGTTGGAAGTCTCTTTAACACAGGAATCAGCTTATGGGCAGATCAAGGGCTTCTAGCTTTGAGGAACATCTTGTGAGACCATAAAATACAAAGACACAGTGTTCCATAAAATGCTATTCTAACAAGAACTAAAAGGTAATTAAGCATGCAAATGAACACTTAGATGAAGATTAGAAAGGGCTCCATGCCCTCTCCAAAACCAAAGGACATTCAAAACTTGGACAAACCTTTTCTACCCTGGCAGAGGACCAGACCTGGCTTGCAGGCAGCTTGCACACGAGGGGAAATACCGGTGCAGAGGCTTCGCTTACATTTTGAGTTGTAGAATTTGCCTGGGGTGGAAAGAGCCCTGGGAAGCTGGCACAGTTGGAAATTGTGATGCCAGACTCAGAAGGCAGCCAGGCAGGCTGTCTTAAACTGGACAGAAGCTACTCTTGGGTGAAATAGTACCTTTGGTGACACGGGGGCCTTGGGGAGTTAGGGAAGCCCGTGGAAATCTTCATTTAAGGAAGGAGGGTGAATTTGGGCAGAGAAGGGAGAGGGAATGGGCCGTGTGCCTCACGAGTATTCTCCCTAACATAGTCACTGCACAGTCTTGTCCTTCAAACAAAACCAGCAACAAGGCCAAGCTCAAGGTTGAGGCAGCCTGAGGCCTTTAAAGCAGACGGTGATGACAGCAAGGCTGAGGCCTGCTTCTTGACACTCAGCATTGTGGCAGTCTTCATGTCTCCCGGGCTAGCCACCTGGTGGTGTATCAGGTCACATGAGATTTCTTTTACCTCAAGCATTGTCTCCACAGAGAGGGCTTTGCGGCCTGGGGACCCACGACACTGAGGGTCTAGGGCTGCCCAGTTCTCTTGACAAATGTATTTCTATTATTGTTAATGAAAATCGGTGAACAAATTGAGCGTGCTGAGAGACTTCATTCTCTCAGTTTTTGTCCCAGACAGGGAAAAGCTTGATAATTACAGAAAAAGCCCATTTTTGCATTCATTCTCAGCACACTTATTTGGTATGTACCAAACTCCTCAGCAGTGCGTTAAGGCTAAAAAGAGATGTAGCCTATTCATTTCAGTGTCCATAAGTGTACAGAGGCAAAGCAGGGGCTGGGGCAGAGCACAGTGGTGGAAAGCTTGCCTAGCACGCAAAGGCCCTGGCTGTGATTTCCAGCACTGAACCACAAAAAAAAAAAAAAAAAAAAAAAAAATTGCTCAAGAGATGTCTGACTATAGCTAAAATTCGGTCTGATCCCATGTGAGGAGTTTCATACCACAGGAACATTTCTACCAGGCTCTTCTGTGGTCCCTGCAACTCCCCAAATGTTGGGTCCCAAGATGCTTTGCAGACAGAGGTGGTCTACCAACCAAGGATACCCCTCACCAAGTAAGCGTGACTGTTGAGGGGGTCACTTATATGGGGAAGGGGCAGTGTGACTGATGAGGGTCACCTGTGTGGGGGACAGTGTGACATGAGGGATCACCTGTGTGGAGGAGGGGTACTGTGGCTGAGGCTGCCTTCTCCAAGACTACCAGTCATGTGAATATTGGAACCTAAACGAGTTAGCTGGGCTCTGTGGTGCAGGCCAGTCCCAGCTACTTAGGAGGCTGAGGCAGAAGGATCACTGGATTCCAGGAGTTGGAGGTCAGCCTGGGTGACATAGCAAGACCCCAGCTCAAAATAAATGTAAATGAATTAAAACTGACTAAATTAAAAGTCAGCCCCTCAGTGGCCACCAAATTGACAAGGCAGTGAGAACATTTTCCTAACCAGAGTAAGTTCTGTCCACCATGCAGGACTACACCCAGGCTGGCTTCATTTCTGGACACTCAGCCTGCCTGTCCTCTCTGAGGCTGTCCTCTACCTCCTGTGCTGCCTCCTCAGCTCAGTTCTAAGCCAGGTGGCAAAGATGAGCTGGAGGTTGTCTCGCCTTGGTACATCTCTGAATCTAGGCAGCAACTCCTGCTAGCCACTCCCACGTGAAGCCAGCAGCCCTTCAGCTCCAAGCTCCTCCTGCTCTGGCAGAAGTGTCACCCAAGCCTTCCTCCCTCCCTTCCCCAAGTGCATGGAGCCAGTGGCCCTCAGCACAGGTGCTCTGTTTTGCAGAGGATCAGCACGGCCACCGGTGACGGCAAACACTACTGCTACCCGCACTTCACCTGTGCGGTGGACACGGAGAACATCCGCAGGGTGTTTAACGACTGCCGGGACATCATCCAGCGGATGCACCTCAAGCAGTACGAACTCTTGTGAGGGCCACCACCCTCCTCCCTGCCCGCCTCTCCTTCCTCTTGGCCACCCCATGAGGCGGAGCACTTCCTCCAGACTGTGTGTCTGTCCACCCCAAGCCGTAGTAGGACATAGCGTCTAGTGTCATCTGCTGTCTGTCCTGTCCTGGGTATGCCCGTATGTGACCACCAAGCCTCTGGCTACCTCCATCCCTTGGGTTTGGTTCTGTAGAGTTCATTTCCACTGAACACAACAACCTCCCTACTCCACCAATTTGTGGCACTGCAGACTCACCTGGGTGACTGCAGTCAATCTCTCTGGGTGGAGCCCATTTTAATCGTGAATTGATTGATTGATGATTGACTTGGTAAATGGGAGGAAACGCAATTTTTTTTTTCAATTATCAAGCATGACTGAGAAATGTACAGTTTTATAAGCTGCGGCTTTTTGACTTTCCCTTTGTGAAGCTGCAGACAGACTGGCGGCTGTCCCTTCTAATCTGCTTTGGCCCAAAGCCTAGAGTAGAACCCAAGCCAGCAACAGAGGAACGCTTTGTCAGCCACATTTATGGTCACTAAAAGCCACAGACATTTGAATTGAGTGCTCCTTTTTACTTTTAGGCAGAAAACCTGCCCCATTCACTACTGAAAAATGTGTCCTGTGTCCTCTACACTTTCACCATAATTGGCCACAGTCGATCATATATTCTTTTTGTTGTTGATTTATTGCTGGTTTATTACACTGTACAGACTACAAAAATGTAATATTCTTTTGTATCACTACTGAAGAGAAATCCTTGTAGATTTCTGTGCCTTGGTGATGGCTACACCTGTAAAGGGAATTGGTTTTAGTGGGTTGAACAGCTTAATGTCGACATGACCTGCTGCTTACTCCAAAACAGGGAATGAATGGTATCTGTAGAATTGAGAGTATTTTGATCAGATTGATACTGGCAAAATTCTTGATTTTAAAACCATCCACACTTTACCAGCAATGTCATCCCAACATCACAACTGTGTTGCAGCCACCAACAGTTACTGCTTTGAGCCTTGGCTGTAAAAACCAGGACTCAACTCCAGGGCACAGTTTGTAAGTTCATCTTACTTTGGGGAACTAGGGTTTGTTTTTCTCCCCAGAAGATGTGTATCTCTACTTCGGTTCCCTGGACAGGAGCAGGCCACCCATTCCCTTACTTAAGGCTCCATCGTTACAAAGAAACAAACGTAAGAGCAAAGTGGTGTCAATGTCTTTGTCTGCCAAGGAGAATGAGGTTGGTGTCTTCATTTGTCTTTTGAAGATGAAGCCAGGTCTAATGCATACTAGGCAAGTGCTCTGCTGCTAAGCCACACTGCCACCCTGCAAAACCTTATTTCACACATGTGCAAGATCTGCATATGCTGCTTCAAAAGTCAGTGCAGCACCATCCCTAGAAAGTAGAATCATGCAGCAGTGGTTTCCTGTTCTGCCCACTGCCATGGCTTTGAGGGTAGTTCTCGCAGATCTAAAAAAAATCTGTAAAGACGTCCAAAGTTACATTCTCAACCGTACAACTCCACAGCCCAATTCCTTCATTAATTGCCTTTCAGTCTGTCTAAAATTTTAAAGTTTACTCTACAAATCGGCATTTTATAATCCTTTTGTAAACTCATGTAAATGTCACTTTTCCTTGGAAGGATGGCACTGTAACAGACAGTCGGTGCAACAAGCACCCAACTTCATTATCACCATCTTCTTGCCGCTCCCATTCTCCACCAGTATATGAAACTCGAAATTAAACTGAGGTATAAAAATGCAAATGATTTGTGCTTCCTCTTGCACTTTCAAAGTAAAACAAGAAGAAGAAAAGTGAAGAGCCAGCCCTTCACACACAAAAAAAGTGAAGCTGTACAGTACAGCCCCCGTAAGAGAACTATTCCTTAAAGCTGGAAGGACGGGGAGTGTAGCTCAGTGACAAGAGCAATGCTTTGTAAGCACAAGTACCAGGATTCAATAAAAGTAAAATAAACAAATATGAACAAGTAAATAAAGTTGAATTTAAGAGCCAAGCTCTTAGAAAAAAATATGCTGGGTTAAAATTATCACACCATTTATTTTTAAATAACAAAGCCACACCCTCTTCTATTTTTTTCAGGTTTTGATCATTGACAGGCATTGAGATGTAACAACGTAGTCTCCTGGAGAGAAATTTGCACTTACCTAAAAATCTGATTCCATTAGTTTTAGCTCAGAAATACAAAAGTCTTTTTTAAAAAAATGTGTTCCTGCACATTGAATATGTACTTTTAAGTGTGCAGTTTCATAATATATAGGAATTTGAGAGCTACTTTGCAGAAGGACAGAGCAAATCCAACATTTATGTGCACACATAGCCCCAGGTGTGCACCAGGGCTGCCGGTCCTTCCTGGGGAAGCAATGGTTGTGTGTCGTGCATGCAAGTGACAGTGTCAACAGCATTTACACACTGTACAGACACAACCTTGGATTCTACATATGTTTGATAAAATGCGAAAACACATTTCCTGTAGAGTACATGTTCCATTTTTACAGCATGAGAACAGTACAGTCAACTATTTATTCTGCAGCTACTGACATCACCGATTCAGTTTCTACCATACACATAAAGACAGCCTATGTCACTCTCATCCACTAGACTCTACTGTGAGCTCTGCCAGGAGTTCTGTCTTGGCTTTGATACTCATTATCATATGAACAATCACCTGCTCTTCACCTGGTCGTGGGAGTGGGCATTCTCAGCAGGTTCCATCCAAACAGAAAAGGTGAGGCTAAACACTCAAAGTGAGCTAAGACGAGGACCAGAACGAACCCAGCTGCTCCGCAGTATGTGGTCAGAACCGTGTCCTCAAATGGGAGGTAGCACTTGGAGAGAGCATAATCCCTGGAGGTCAAGCTGCCCTGGTGAAGAAATGGAAGGTTACATTGCAGTGTGAGCCCCAGGGCAGTCTGACTTCAACAGTCAAAAGACTGCCTCCCAGGGCTCTCCTCACCCAAGACCCACAGGCCCTCAGCCTGACAAGTCACCACCAACTACACAGACACTGGCAAGAGAAGGAAAGGTCTCCGTGAAAACGCCCCCTGACACAGGTGTGAGTCACACCTGACATCTAGAGAGGCAGAATGCAATCTGAGAGGTAACAACCAGGAGGAGTACGAGGGTGTTTTCCTGGTCCTTGACACTGAAGCATTAGCTTTTCCTTGTAGATGTTTTGCAATGTGGAATCACAGTAGCAAATGTTTTCATTTACTTTGAATTTGAAAACACGAGGGGCCCCTGCCTCTTTATGAAGTAGGAGTGTAGCATAAAGGCACAGAAACCAAATGTAGGAACCCATGGCTAAAAGGCCATGGTGGAAAGTGCTCATTCATTAAAACAACCTTTGATCAGCATAAATGCTACAGCTTGTCTGCCGGGAGTTTGGAAAATAAGAGCTGACCTGGGATCCTGTTTCCTTAAAAACGTAAAAATGCCCAGTGTGACCTCAGAGGACACTGCTGTCCACTGTCAGGACAGCACACTCCTGAAGTGGCTCCCTCGCTCCCCCGAAAGCGCCCAGGGGCAATGTTCTGCTTATGAGTTCCCAGACAGGTGTCTAGGGCAGGCGGAGTGAATTTATTTCTGGCTTTCGTCAATTTTAACAGATTGCAGCAATTAAATAGTTGATGACTGTGTTGACTTTAATACTTATTAAAGCTTTCAGACAAAAATAAACTTTCATTTACCATGATGAAACTGGGGTTGTTTCTGTTCCTCCAACTGAAAGATGGGACGCTGATCTCCGGGACTCCTCCAGCATGGAGCACTTCACAGGCGCTGTGTGTGTGGCCACTCAGGACCAGGCGGGGCTGCAGCCACCACAGCAGCTGAGGGCACCAGAGAGACACAAGGCAGGCAGTCAGTGCTTACTCCAACCTCAGAGCGCCACTGCCCAGCTGGACCACTGGCACAGTCACTCACTCCTCTAAACTAAATGCTAGCTCTTACTACATAGGACTGGCTCATTTCCTCCTCAGAATATTTGTTTTGTTTATACTAGCCTCTACTCTTTCCATCAAATTTTATGCCTTTGTCATTTTTTTTTTTTTTTTTGGCAGTGCTGGGTTTTGAATTCAGAGCCTCATCCTTGCTAGGCAGGAGCTCTACCACTTGAGCCACACCCCAGCCCATACTGCTTTAATTTTGAGACAGGGTCTTGTGTTTTTGCCCAGGCCAGCCTGGACTGTGATCCTCCTATTTACCCTTCCTGAATAGCCGGGATTATAGATACACACCGTCACACCCAGCTTTTTATTTCTTGAGATGGGGTTTAACTAATGTTTTGCCCAGGCTGACCCTGAACTGCAATCCTCACAATCTCCAGCTCCTGAGCTACTGTAGCTGGCATTTTATTTTTATAAATTTGTTTCATAAATATATCCCACAAATATATTTATACTTTAAATATAAGTTATATTTAAAATATAAATTTTATTTTCATATTAACATGTTTAATAAATACTCTATATTATGTTTTTCTTAAATATGTATCTTTAAGAAGGACTATTTTTAATTAAGTCCATAAAAGTTGGACTCAAGTCCATTTACACTTCCCAATCCATCTAAGTTGATGAAAAAACTTTGAAGCAAAAAAAGGCAAAGGGGGCTGGCAAAGTGGCTCAAGTAGTAGAGCCCTGCCTAGCAAGCATGAGGCCCTGAGTTCAAACCCCAGTACCACCAAAAAAAAAAACCCCAAAAAAGCCAGATTATAATTGAGTTGAGATTAAGAACTAGGGTGTTGACTGAAAAACAGAAAAGGAACACATGAGGAAACACGACCTGAGACGGTGACAACCCTCCCAACCTGGCAGCTCTAAGTGCAGAGGTCCTGGGTGCTGCGTGGGGGGACAGTAACATGGGTACCTTTTGTGAGGCCTCCCGAGAAAGCACATCATATCGTTCCTCAAAAGGGATGCTCCTCTCTTCTGGAGGGGCTGCATCGTCCCCAGAGCAGTTGGCATCGCTGATCCGGTAGAGTGGGTAATGCTGGCCGGGGTTTAAGGAAGGGTCAGATGGGTTCTCAGAAGCCTGGCGGCCTTGCCCGATCTGTGCCAAACCACTCCCCCACCCCCACCCCCACCTCACCTGCAGGAGCACTGGGGCAGACCAGGGAAGCCACTGCCCATCTCCACACTGGTCGGAGCCCTGTACCTGCTGGTCAGAAGTCAGCATGTTAACCCAGCAGAGCCGGGGGAGCTGGGTAACTGACAGCAAGGACGGGAAGCCCATCCACAGCCACGGTCTCCTACCTCTCTCGAGCAGTTCAGCTTATGAGAGATCTCAACGAGTTCAGCTTCTGCTTGAGAGCAGATGTCACAGCCGTCCCCTTCCAGTGCGACGCTGTTGACCATCACAAAACTGAGGTAGATGGGAGCAGGCAGAAGGTCAGGCCACCAGGGTGGTGTGTGTGCTGCACTCAGAAGCATCCAGGGTGGGAAGAAATGCCAGGAGCAGCTTAAATCACAGCTACACTAACTAGGTGTTTTGTGAGTCAATGTTAACAAAACATGGGAAGGGGACCATTAACCCCTAAACTTCTCACACCACCTAGATCACAGAGGCTCTGAGGTTGGACTGCCAATCCGCACACATCCAGCCAGAAACACGCATCTTCAGGCCTACTCTGTAAAGGTGGGGTAAGAACAGGCAGCCGACACCAGCAGCTGGGTGTGAGGACTACATGAAATGATGCAGGGGCTGCTGAGCACAGCCTGATGCTAGACAGGACCCGGGAGGGTTAGATAGCATCCTCTCTGCAACGCAAACCCAGGAACTCTCAGGAACCTCTGTGCACTCTGCAGGTATGACGGTGGGCTCGGGAAGCTGGTGCTAATTGGGTTAGATAATCCTAATCCAGAGTAGTAACAATGCCAAGTTCCGGTACCCTCTACAGCCCCTTTACCTTCTTGGTTTTTATAGACTCCCACTCAATATGCTTTCATTTCCCATGCACAAGTCAATAAGATTGCTTGAAATTCAAGCAGTTTTAGAGATAAGTAATCAAGTGACCTGAAATCGGCAAGTACGTTTAAGGTTTCAGAAGCACTATGTTTGGGAGAAATAACTCAAATGGTACCAAATTACCATAGGACAGGAAGCCACCTCCTAGGAACTGACCTCCAGGCAAAAGGAGGGAAAGGGAGCACAGGGGATGGGGAGATGGCCTGGTCTCCAGAGCTTTACAGGAATGTTCTCACTCCACAGCCCAGGAGCTGCTCATGCCATGGTCAACAGAGTGCCGGCCCCCACAGGAAAGGACCACCCCGAGAAAGCTGCTGCTCCCAGCTCCTCCTCCTTGGTATGGCAGCCAGAGCAATGTACAGTCTTGCCCACTAGGCTGCAAATGGAACAGCCCAGAAAGGTCCAGAGACAGGCACTGGGATGGCCTCGCAGCAGTGGACCCATCCCAGTGGTCAGACTAAGGGCTAAAATGCTGGTCTAAAAGCCATGGCTGATGGGAATGGGGTAGGCCCCTGCTACAGAAGCACCCCGACACACCTGCCACTGAGTCCCAGGACCATAACAACGGGAAGAGCCTTTATCACATGAAAGAAGTGCATTCTTATCAAATAAAAAGACAGCCTTAAACCATGCATGGTGGCACACACCTATAGTTCCCAACTTCTCAAGAGGCTCAGGAGAGATCTCATCTGTCCTTATCATAGTGAGCTCTCATCTCAAAAACAAAACAAAACAAAAAAGTTGCCTTTACAAAATGGACTGGTGAAATGTGCAGGACAGTGCAGATAGTGGCTGGGCAGTCCTAGACTGACCTATCAGGTGGTGTGGAGTTTCCCATCTACCATCTCCCACAGTGCCCATCAGCAAAGACAGCCGTGGTCAGATGGAACCTAGGTCTGACCAAGTATGGCAGTCACCTTTGAAAAATGAAGTTTCTGGGCTGGGGGGCAGCTCAGTGGTAGAGTGTGATTAGTGATTCCAAAAAAAAGCTTCCAAGACTGAAGATCATCATAAGACCTCACAAATAAGCTGGGCACAGTGGCTCATGTCTGTAATCCTAGCTACTCGGGAAGCAGAGATTGGGAGGATCATACTCTAAAGCCAGCCCAGGCAAACAGTTAGTGAGACCCCATCTTAACCCATAAAAAAAGCTGGGCATGGTGGGGCACACCTGTCATCATAGCTAAGCAGGAAGCATAAACAGGAACACTGAAAACAGGCTGGAATAAATGAGAGGCCCTATTCTCAAAATAACTAAAAAAAGGAGTGTAAACCATCTGCCTAGCAAACAGGAGACCATGAGTTCAAATCCCAGTATAGGAGATAGGGAAGGGAGAAGGAGGGAGGAAGGAAGGATGGATTCACAAATAATACAGAGAGGAAGGGAAAGCAGGACTTAGGGAAGGATGGAGGGAGGATTCACAAATAATACTCACTTAACTCCTTTCCAAGAAAACAGCCTTTCAGGGCTGAATACTTTCTCAAAACGTTTTACTCGGTATTCACTCATCCTACGTACAATTGTAAAAAGAAACATTTTTCAGATCAAGCCATCTCAGAACTTCAGAGTTATCACGAGCATGGAAAATAACTGTCAATACCCAAAGGCCAGCTAAAGGCTTTAACTTCCCCAGCCAATCAAGGTTCAGATCTCAGCTCTCCTCCTCGCTGTGAGGCCTGGGCAAGTTACGTAGATCCCTGAAACCTCAGTGTCCTCACTGGGACAATGACTAGAACAGCAGGACCTCAGTGAACACTGTACAAGCTAACACACGGAAGTCAAATTCTCAAGATGCACTGAGGAAAGCTCCGTAGCACTCTGTGAATGTCAGTTATGAAGCAGAAATGAACTTGTTTGCAGACTCCCCAAGAAAACAGATGGCCATTAAATGTGCATTTCGACCAGGAAGCTGACAGAAGGACTGCAAGTTCCAGGCCAGAACATGTCAAGTTTGCTATTTCCCAAGGGCACACACAATTCACTCCTGCGACAGATACCTGCTGAGGGGCTCTTTGCCAAGACTGTTTGAATCCCTTGAGCAGCTTCCATTCCAGAGCCTCCATCTTTGGAGGAAAATGAATTTCCTAGTGAGCACAAGGGAGGCTTTCCCCTGAACTTAGCAGGTTTGAAACAACAGCTCACAAGTGCTCCCAGGGTGCCAGGCATCAGTGAACTACTTACTGGTAATGGAAGCCAATGTCATGGTTGCCAGCAACCACCTTCAGCTGCATGTGGCTGGGGTGTCTGAACATCTTCTGAAAGCGCTGCACGTCATCTGCCCAGGCCTGAGGGAACAGAGCCACAGCTGACAGCCAGAAAGCCCTCTTCCCTGTGGCTAAAACAGGGCCCTACACTGATCTGAGTAGTTAACTTCCCGTTCCAAATCAGATGTTCATATAGAACTTTCAATTTTTAATTCTTTTCTAAGACCACTTTGATACTTTTAATACTTTAAATTATTTGATACCAAATTTTAGTTAAATAGTATCCCCCCAGTTTAAAACATTTTTAACCTCACAGTTCATATACTTATTCAAAATCCCCTGAATTCCATGTGTGGACCCTAGTATGAGAACTGCTTCGGATCTGGACACATTTTAACAACAGACCCAGAAAATGTCAAGTGCATTCTTCACATGTCTCCATCAAGAAAAGGAGGGTAACAATCTTCACATTCCCCCATGGTTAAGACTGTGAGAATGAGAACTAATAAGATTTGGGAGAAAGACAAAGATATTTATTATAACAAATATTTTAACATTATTCTGCCATTTGATTTAACTATAAAGCTTTGGAGTTATGTTAGTATAGGTCTGTTTGCTTTTTTTAATTTTTTGGTGTCAGAGTTTGAACTCAGGGCTTCATGTTTGCAAGGCAGGCACTCTACTGCTTGGGCCATGCCTACAGCAGTAGGCCTAAAAGAATCAATTGGACATATACCTACAGTAGCAAAAACCCTCCCTCTCCTGGATTGTAATCAATTTCACCCTGAAGCTTTAACTATGGTACAACCTAAGGAGATCTGCTGGACAGTCCTTCAACTATTTATGAAGTCTCTGCTTTAACAAATGATACTTAAAGTCAGAATAACAAATTTGGAAAACTCGTAAAATGTTCTCTTAGTTGCCAAGGCAGCACAGATAGCCAAGCTCGTTGTGTAACTAGTTATTTTTACATATGGCATTTCTGGAATGTCATATTTAATTAGAGGCTACATTATATCAAACATTACCACTGTGTAAACAGAGGTTCCTATCGTATCCAAACCAAGCTTTCTTTGTGGAGCTTCTGCATTGTCCTGGGAAATGTCAACGGATTTTTTTAAATACACTCCTCAAATAAAATCCCTTCCAAAACCCATGAGTGACTGCATGGTTTTAACTAACCAGCAAGAACACTCTTTTCATTTGTTGCAAGCGTGATCAGCAGAGCACGCTGACAGCTGAGAGTGACTTTCTCTCTGGTTTCTGAACTGACATTATCCCAATACCCAGCAGTGGACCGGGCCCCCAGAAGGCAGAGGAGCTTCATCCCGTCCACATGGCTCCTTCTACCCCACTCACTCCCGGGAAAGAAAACCAGAGGCAGATGGTGAGTAACTCCATAGCGTAGTTCTCCTAAGGCAGTGATTAAAGAAGAGTGCAAAGTGACAGGCTGGGGTATGGCTCAGTGATAGAGTGCTTGCCTGGCACACACAGGGCCCCGGTTCCATGGCCATTCCAATGTGTATTCTGTGACTTGGGTGACAACTGACATTGCATCCATCTTGCCCGCTTTTCCTTGTCCCTAATCCACAATTATTTCCCACACAGATAAACACAGGAATAGCCAGCCTGAGAAAGATTCCCACAGGCACAAATCCTAAGACTTGTCAAGGCAGACTACACTATTTTTGCTGCTTAACAGCCTCGGGCCTCAACACATGCTAAGCACGGGCCCTTATGGCTGAGCTACACACCCGGCCGGGGGACCGCACAGTCCCAGTGCCAGTACTAAGCAAAACATCCAACTCAAGCCAGTGAGCTTCACGGACTCTCTGGGCTGCCTAAGGTGAATCCTCAAGCAGAATCAGGTTGCCTGGGCCACAGGGTCCTACCTGGGAGGAGCTCCACTTCCCTTCATCAAAGATGTCCCCCAGGATGAAGATGACTTCTGGTTGCAGCCACCACAGAGCTGTCTGAAAGGCTCGCTCCATTTGCCATTCCCTTGAAGACAAGAGGAGAAATTAATGTGGCTGTCTCTTTCTCGGGTGGAAGCTACTTTGTGACTTCCGGGTCATTTAAACAGTGAACTAAATGGTCCATTCTTCTTCTATGGCCCTACTCTTGCCTTTCCACCCTCAGCTTCGGAGGGGCCACCAAGTGTGTATCTGGTCAACTGTGGGGAATTAAGGCACCAAAAGGAGAGCAGAGCCCCCCTCCACACCTCCCAAATGCTGAGCTCTGTGTGGTGTCCAGAGACGGGCCTCACATCACACCCTGCAGCCATCACTCCATCGAGAGAGCCCAGGGAGGTGAGGGCTTAATGAGGCTTCCAGAGATGCCCAGTGTATACCGATCTTACACCACACCTACAAGATGACTGCACAGAACTCAAATTTCTTTTTTCTTTTCTTTCTTTTTTTTTTTTGCAGTGTTAGCCATTGAATTCAGGGCTTACTGTATGCAAGATGAGGACTCTACCACTGAACTACAGTTCCCACCCTTTAGGTTTCACTTCCTAAAGGGACCTCACATTCAGAAATGAGAAGAGACAATGAAAGAGCAGCCAATGTCACGACAGCAAATCCCGTGAATTTCAGATGACAAGTAATCATCCTGAAAGTGAACTTATAAACAAAGGGAAAAAATCCTGAGGTGTGCTCTTTTAAACCATTGCCCATCAGACTGTGCTAATCTGTTTAAAACCCCAGCTCCATCTGTTGACAAGATGTGGCCTAGAGAAGGTGCCTACTGTCTCTCAATTTCTGCACTGGTAAAACAGGGTTTGAAAAACACCCACTGCTGGGCCTAAGTGGCCCATGCCTATCATACCAGCTATGCAGGAGGTGTAAGTAGGAAGATGGTGGTGCAGGTCAGCCCAGGCAAAACTAGCTGGAAACTGCCAGGTGCCAGTAGCTCACACCTGTAATCCTAGCTACTCAAGAGGCAAAGATCAAGAGGATCATGGTTCAAAGCCAGTCTAGGAAAATAGTTCACAAGACCCTGTCTCAAAAATACTCAACATATACAGGGCTGGAGGAGTGGCTCAAGTGGTAGAGCCCCAGCCTAGCAAGCATGAGGCCCTGTGTTCAAAAACCTCACTACCACAAGAAAGAAAAAAAGAAAATTTGCCAGGCACGGTGATGGAGCACTTAGGAGGTGGAGGCAGAATTAATCAGCTTCAACCAGCTTGGGCACTGTAGTAAGACCCTGTCTCAAAAAATAAATAAAAATAAAAGCCACCTGATTGCAGGATAATTACAGGATTAAGTTAGATAGCATTTGAAGCGCTCCCAGCACAGCACAAGCACACAGTAGGTGAAAGACAGCCAGGCTTCCCAGCCCTCCCTTCTTCCTCCCTCTCCTGTATCATTTTCCGAAGGACCCCAAATCTCCCATTCTCCTTATGGCATGCACCCCCAGCTGCTCCTCTAAAGGGAAATGCTGTGTCCTGGGGTGGATACAGGAGAAGGTGAATTTTTTCGGTAGTACTGGGCTTTGAATTGAGGGCCTGGGGCAGGCCACTTGAGCCATGTCCCCAACCATTTTTGCTTGAGGTATTTTTCAAAGACCTTTCAAAGAAGCTCATCTATGCTCAGGCCAGCCTTGACCTCAGACCTTTTGTTTATGTTTTCTGTGTATCTTGGGATGACAGGCATGCACCGCTCAACAAGCTTTTTACTGGTTGAGATGGGGATCTCAAGAACATTTTATGTGCCCCAGGCTGGCCCTAAACAGTGCTATTGCAGCCTCCTGAGGAGCTAGGATTAGAGGATTACAGGCAGCACTAAGGAAGGTTTTGTGTGTGTGTGTGTGTGTGTGTGTGTGTGTGTGTGTGTGTGTGTGTGCGCTCAGAGGAGGTTTTCATGCCACAATAAAAGTACTGTATGGTGCACACCATGCTTCCCCCCCAGGGCTTCTGTACCTCAATGGGAGAGTACTTGCCTAGCATGCCCAATGTCCTGGACTCAATCCCTAGCACCACCACCCCCTAAAAAAAGATTGTCACTCCAAGTAGCTCTCAAAAGACATTTCTTAGTTTTTCTTAGTTTACTGTTACTCACTCTGGGGAAGAAAGAATTCGGCAGCAGCAAAAAAGCACAGGAAACTGCCTAGAGGCACTGGACTTGTGAAGCCAGACAACGTGCAGTCTCAGCTGGCCTTCTCCAGCCCATGCCTCCATGGCTTTAAACTCTTCACAGAAAGGCCCAGCAGCCCCTCTTTCCCATGCCTCCCTCACCCACATGGGACATCACACATCCTGTCCACCCAGCAACATGGGGTTTGCCCACGTCTGCAGACTCTAGGGTACTTCCTCTCACAAGTGTTCTGAGGCCCGAGGAGGCCACGGTAAGCCAAGGACAGCACGGTTATCTGAGACGCTCCCGGCCGCTCAGGTACTGACTCCTCATCCTCTGACCTAAGCAGTGAATGAATTCCTTGGTGGATTCGCACTAGGAGGTGGGCCTCGCTGGCAGAAGTAGGCCACTAGGGACATGGCCTAGAAAAATATTCCTGTCCCTGCCCCTTCCTGTCCACCACAAAGTGAGCAGTTCTGCTCCACACACCCTTCATCCTGATGGTCTGCCTCACTACCAAGACCAGAAACACAGCCAGCAACCACGGCCCGAAAGCTTGGAAACCAAGAGCCAAAATAGATCTTTCTTCACTTTCAGTTGTTGTATTCAGGCATTTTTGTCACGGTATCAGAAAACTGACTAACACAAAAAGCTAGGGTACAGGGTCACAGTGACAAGGAGAGAGCTCTGAGGAGCCGCTGGTCAGAGCCCCCCATTCATGCCTTCAAGTGCCAAGAGGGGAAGGCAACCCAGTGTCTGCCACGGGTGAATGGGCACATACGGCGTGGCCCACACAAGGGAATATGATTCAGCTTCAAAAAGAGATACTGTGACACTCACACGCACGTTGTAACACGTTGTACAGTGTGTATGAACCCTGAGGACACCATGGCAAGTGAAACAGACCAGTGACAAAAAGATAAATACTGTCTGATTCCACTTCTATGAGGCCTCTGGAAAAGCCAAGTTCACACAGACTGAAAGCAGAACAGTGACTGACAGGAGAGAGAAGGGTGAAGAAGGGCGAGAGTTTCCGTTTAAGAAGGAGAAACTCTGGAGATAGGTGGTGGGGATAGTAGGTGAACACACGTAATGTCATTGAGCTGGATGCTTCACAATGACTACGATGAGAAGTTTTATGTTAGGTGCATTTTACCTCAATTAAAAGTAGTCAGAACGCTAGAAAAGCTTCCTTGTGGAAACGCTGATGGCCGATGTCACAGCAGGTCTGAACTAGAGAGACAGGACCTGCTCCCTCCCGGGAGGCAGCCATATAACCTGCCCTGCTCCTCCAGCTGCCCAGAGGAGGAGAAAACCCAATGGGTTCACACCAACAAGGCGAGGGGGCCACAACACAGATCTGCATCCTCCACCCGCTCCCAGTGTTCCGTGCCCCCTTCTTCAGGTGGCTGTGAGGGTTCTTAGCCTCAGTCCAGGAGGGTGACAAGTAACAAGGAGGCAGGGGGCCCAGGGACTCTCAAGTCTGATTCTCAGCTTACCTGGTCCTGAACACAGTACATGCTCAGTAAAGTGGGAGAAAAGTAAGAGGCCCCCCACATGTCCTTCTCTGAGAGGAAAATGACTAGGAGTGACCTGAAGTCCCCCAGCTGGCCTGTGGAAGAGGATCATACCTTCCTGCCTACAGGATTCCAGGATTCCTGGCGTTACCCCTCACCTTCGTAATTTGTCTAGCCAGTGGCCTCTTCTTTCCCCAAGCAAGTGGGTATCAGCCAAAAACATGGCTTTCAGAAGAGGCTCCTGGGCTCCATGGGCGGTAGTTTTGAGTTCAGGCCAACTACACTGAAAGATCACTATGTGATAGATAAAAAATTCACAAAACAGAAGCACAGCAAAGACAATGGCTGCAAGTGTCAACAGCAGGGAACGCCTCCTCTGCAGCAGGCGGATGTCCTGCCTTCCCAGAACCCATCTAATCAGAACCATTTCTCCAGCCCAGGAGTTGCCAGCAAAGGAGTCAAGTCCATCAAGAAGTCACCGGAGAACACTGAGGAAAGTGAAGATCCATCCAGGTTGTGTACCTACAGGGAAAAGGAAAAGTGGGTTATGCTCCTTAATAAATCTAGTATTACTGCCCCACTTTGTTAAGAATAAGCCAGGCACAGTGGTATACACCTGTAATTCCAGCTACTTGCTATTTGGGGAGGCTGAGGCAGGAGGATCATCAGTTCAAGGCCAGCCTGGGCTACAGAGTGAGACATGAGAGCCCATCTCAAAAGAGAAAAAAGAACAAATGAACTACAGAATCCAAAATTCCCAATTAAATTGCCTTTTACTGTTACATGATAATATGACTTTACTAATAAGAAAATGACTACCCAAGCGCTAGTGACTCATGCCTGTAATCCCAGCTACTCAGGAAGCAGAGATCAGGAGGATTGCGGTTCAAAGCCAGCCCAGGCAAATAGTTCTCAAGACCCTATCTTGAAAATACCCAACACAAAACAGGGCTGGTGGAGTGACTCAAGTGGTAGAGCACCTGCTTAGCAAATGTGAGGCCCTGAGTTCAAACCCCAGTAACACACACAAAAAAAATCATCTCTCCATCAAGAAAATAAATACTCTAGAAATAATTAATACTCTAGAGATCATCAAGAGAGAATCCATCAAAAGGATGTATGGTAGCCACCTTGTAATCCCAGATACTCAGGAAGGGAGCTTAAGGCCAGCATGGGCTACACAGCAAGATCCTGCCTCAAAAAAAGTGTCAGGCACCAGTGGTCATGCCTGTAATCCCAGCTACTCAGGAGATAGAGATCAGGAGGATCAAAGTTCTAAGCCAGCTGGGCAAACAGTTCATGAGACCCTATCTTGAAAAAACCCTCCATAAAAAAGGGCTGGTGGAATGGCTGAAGGTGTAGGCCCTGAATTCAAAATGCAGTACTACAAAAACAAAAAAGTGTTAAAGTAGGAGACAGAATGGGAAATGTTAAGTATTTTGTAAGTGTAACTTGACTCCCCAAGTCCAGCATGGGCTACACAGCAAGATCCTGCCTCAAAAAAAGTGTCAGGCACCAGTGGTCATGTCTGTAATCCCAGCTACTCAGGAGATAGAGATCAGGAGGATCGAAGTTCTAAGCCAGCTGGGCAAGTAGTTCATGAGACCCTATCTTGAAAAAACCCTCCATAAAAAAGGGCTGGTGGAATGGCTGAAGGTGTAGGCCCTGAATTCAAACTGCAGTACTACAAAAACAAAAAAGTGTTAAAGTAGGAGACAGAATGGGAAATGTTAAGTATTTTGTAAGTGTAACTTGACTCCCCAAGTGATCCATCATCACCCATCTATGGCTTTAAAAACCAACAATAGGCTCATAAGTCCCCTGTGATATGTATGCACATTTTTGAAAATCTTACCTAAAGAAAAATAATTAGGGCCAGCAGAGTGGCTCAAGTAGTAGAGTGCCTGCTTAGCAAACGTGAGGCCCTGAGTTCAAATCCCAGTGCCACGAAAACAAAAAAAGAAAAGCAAATAGTTGGACCTGTCCCTGCAGACATTATCCAAAGCTGAAAAGCCAACTGCAGAACTGGAATGACCTTTGCAAATACACAGATGGGGAAAGGCCTTCCTGGTGAGTCAACGGGAGCGGTGCCGTTGGTATGTTATATGAGTATGAGTAAGACCTTACTTCCACTGGGGCTTTTCAGAAGGGATGGAACAGTAAGGGAGGGGGAAACGGATGGCCTCCTCTGGTTTCTGGTAGAGATGGCCCCACAATCTCCTGCCAGCTTCACAGTCCACAGCTGAGCTCCACCCTATCGCCTCCTTCCCACCTTCATCTGAATATTAAGTACTTATTTGATTAACGAGCTTACAGCCCACACTCACTAGATTTTGATTTCCTCCTTTCCATACCGAAGGCCCAAGGCAGCTCTCAAAGGTGCAATCAATCAACAGCTCTCACTGGGAATTTCCTCAGAAAAGCCACAATTTGATTATCAGGTCCCCACTTTCACACTTCTTTTTTTGAACCCAGGGCCTCGTGCATGCTAGCAAGAGCTCCACCACTTGAGCCATGCTTCCAGACCTAGCTTTTCTTTTTTAAGATCGGGTCTCACTAACTTTGCCTGGGCTGGCCTCCAACTTGAGATCCTCCTGCTTCTGCCTCCTGAGTAGCTGCGATTACAGACGTGTTTCACCATACCACACTTTATCTTCTTTATGGAGAATGCTCTCCTCACCTGTTTTATTTGAGGTCAAACAACAAGTGCCATGAAACCAGAACTGCCACATGTCTTATCTCCCAACTGTGGACACTTTGAGTGTGAAAACAGCACTTTACTGACAATAAGAGAATCAGGGCAGTGACACAAGGCAGGACTGGCCCAGGTTACTCAGGATGTACAGCCGGTCTGCAGCCCATTCTGCCCTGGGATGCTAGTGCTCCATGTGACACAACCAAGGAGAGCAGCAATGTCAGTCAGCAGTCACCACCTTATCTGTGACACACATGAGAACCATGGCCAGATGCAGTCGGTGACCGGCAGGCAGCACTGTGGCTGACTCTTGTAGAGAAAAGAGAGAGGCCCCGAGGAATAGTGCAACTATTTCACCTCAGTACCTCATTTTCTTTCAAAAGGCCTAGAATCTTCTAAATTCCTAAAAGCTAAGGCCAAAACAGCAGCTGGCACTTCCTAAAGCCTTGTTTCCTGAAATTGTGGAGTAGGTTGAGGGAAAGGATCTCTGCCCTTCCAGGCCTGGGCTTCAGATTCTTCCAGTGTGCAAACTTTGTTTGCTTTACAGTTTCCAGTTTCACATTTCCTAAAATGAAATACCAGAATGACAACTTGGGAATTACTCGTCTACACCCACCTCTTTTCATCAGAGAGAACCTTGTCTGAGCAGTTATGACTAAGAGGCAGAAGGAACCCATGGGGTGAGAGGCTAGAGACAAGGCCACTCTGACTGAGGGGGTTAGGGTGACCTGGGACACAACAGGCAGTCCTCCAGCTTTCCTGGATCAAAAAGTGGAGGATGGATGAGTCAGAGACAGTCCAAAGTTGGGTCTGCACCTGGTAACCTCGGCTCTGCCAGACCTGATCCCTAAGCAGCTGATCCCAGAGCCAACCCTGCAGGGCTGCCTGGCACGGTGCAGGCGCTGACTTGCAAGCCACTCACCAGAATGGCCACACTGCAAACAAGCCAAGGTGGGGGAGCTATGGCTCTGTCCCAAACTTCTACCTTCTTCTTTCCACAAAGAAATAAAAGTATCCTACACAGACCCATTTAAACAGAGGAGAACTTGGAAGGAAGGGAAGAGAGAAGGAAGAGAGGGAAAGGGGGAAAGGACAGAGAGAGAAAAGAGAGGGAGAGAAAAGACAGCAAGCGAGCTGGTGCCGTCACATACTTTCTCGAGAAAACCCTAATACCACATGAATCAGCTTACAGTATAATTTGATCATTTGAAAAAAAAAAAAGTGAGAGTGAAAGCCGTATTTGGACAACTTCTTACACTAGATCCTTAAACAAAGTTCCTTTTGCTCAAATCTTGGAAAACTCCTTTTCTTCCTCTATCCAAAGCTGGCGGACTGAATTGATATTCTCAATGTTGTATGCAATGTGGCCAAGTAAGTCCCCTTGTGCTCCTGAAATGAAGACAGAATCATTGGTGGGGGGACAGGGAAAGGGTTCTACTCTCCTCCCCTAGAGGTGGCACCAGCAAGGCCACATGCCTTCCAAAGCAGTGGACTAGGAAATGAAGTCACTGTTACAAAGCAACCTCACTTCCTGGCCTAACTTACGGGTCACAATTGCCTCTTTATTTTCTGACACAGCTGACACTGCTACAGCCACCAGGAGCTAGGCAAGTACTTGGCCCCAAGGGTTAGAGGAAGGTAGGGAAGAAAGGGGGGATAAGGGAGGCTGGCTTGTGCAAATGTCGCCCAGCTTTCTTAGCAGGAAAATGTGGGAACTCTAGGAAAGTCAGCCACCTGCTCCTCTTCAAATATTTCATCCTACCAGCAGAGTCGGCAGCTGAACTGAAAAGAACCCAACTGCAGCTCTGCTGTAACTCTAAGCCGGCCACTTAACATTCCCGAACCTCAAAACCATAGTTATCACTGAACTAAGTTCTGGGCATGACAGAGATGACATAACAAGTACCTAAAAAACCCAGTAAGGTTAGGGACAGAGTTCAGTGGTAGAGCACCCACCTGTCATTCCTAAAGCCCTGGGTTCCATCCCCACCACCAGAAAACAAAACAATAAATAAACAAAATACAAAAGTAAAAAGCATATCCTTTTGCATAAACATAGATCCATGTGTGTGGCTCAAAGAGCCAAAGTGAGGACCAGGCCCAGGGGTTCACACCCTTAACCCAAGCTACTCCAGAGGCAGTGGGGGCCAATCCAGGCAAAAAAGTTATCAATACCTCATCTCAACCAAGCTGGGCATGATGGTACACACCTATAATTCCAGCTACTTAGGAGGCAGAGATGAGGATGATTTGTGGTTAAGGTAGACTGGGGCAAAACAATATAAGACCCTATCTGAAAAATAACTAAAGGGGTGTGTGGCTCAAATGGTAGAGCACCTGCATAGAAAGAAGGAGACAAAAAAACAAATAAAAAAGGAAAAGAAGCCAAAATGAAATTAGGAAGAATGGCAAGAAGACAAAAGAAGCTCCAGAGACTGTGGCCATGTTGAGCTGATGCCCAGTTTTCTCTACTTACCGAGTTGTACCAAGTGATCCTCCCCTTTCCTCATCAAAGGAAACTGTAAATCTGTCTCTACCAATGAACAGACCAATCATTTGAAACCTCCACATTCACTGGGAGGAATAAGTGAAAGCAACGATCCCCTTCCAAGTCTAGGGACTTAGAGGGAAAGGACAGAAGATGTTCGGGGTCTTCATCAGAGCGGGTGGGGTGCTACACCCAGCCCAAGATGGGACCTCTTCCTGCCTACCCAATAAGTGCCTGGAGCACATGTGTTTACTCACCCTCTACTGCTAACATGCAAACTGAAAACCAGAAGGTTCTGATGAAGACTGCAGTCTATGTCACCTCCTCTTACCAAAGGGTGAGAATTCCCTCCCAATAAGAAGCTTCCCTTTGCATTAGCACACTAGGTTTTAAAAATCAAAACTACATAGTTACTATTTTCACTTCCCAAGCTCAGTTCACCAGTGTTATGATCATGTGAAGCTGGGAGCTAATGGCTCTCACCTATAATTCTAGCTACTTGGGAGTCTCAGACTGGGAAGATCGAGGTTCGAGGCCAGTCCAGGCAAATAATTCACAAGACCTCATCTCCAAAATAATCAGAACAAAATGGACTGGTATTGTGGCTCAAGCAGTAGAGCACCTGCTTTTGCAAGCACGAAGCCCTGAGTTCAAACCCCAGTCCCACAAAAAAAAAAAAAGAAAAAAAAAAAGATAATCAAGTGATAACGCACAGGAACATTACACCGTCCTTCTCCACAATACAGTTCAGGTTGGCCTGTGATGGAAAAGCAGGCAGACATCGCTGTGGATCCCTCCTGACGGATTTGTGAAATAAGGGAGCTAGATTGGAACTTGAAGGTCCTATGAAGAGCTGAAATATTGAGCCCATGATATTTTGATTTCTACCATCCCTCCACCATATACTTACATCTTGAAACAAAAAATAAAAAACAATAAAAATTTGAAAAAAACAACACAAAAATCCAGCTGTAAGCATGGTGGGTAATGCCTGTAACCACTGTACTTGGGAGGCTAAGGCAGGAGAATCTCAAGTTTGAGGCCTGCCTGGGCTACATGAGGAGACTCTGCCTCGAAAACAAAACAAACAAAACCCCAGCACAGTATCATCTACTGTTTTTCACAAAGCTCAAAGAGACTCATTATTGGTTCATGAAATCAGTTTGGTGTGACCAGAATTTTAAAAAAATGAAAACACAGAATACATTAGCTTGCCAGGTAGTAAAGTTAATTTTATGAAACTTTTGTTTCCAACTTAATATACTGGCCATGATATAAAATGTATTTCTTTCTGCACTAGACTATCAGCCCCCTTCAGACAGGGACCTTGCCTTGTATATCTTTAAATTCCCATGTCTAGCAGGTAGCATGCACACAGTAAGTGCTCAATAAATGTTGACTTAAGGCCTCTTCTTAGTCTCACTGTTCCAAACATTTTAGGATTAGAAACATACATACACCTACTCTTTCTTTCCACTCCCTATTTTAGGTGCTTATGAATTTACAATCACAGCAACAGGAGGAGGTCACCTTTGATGAAAGGGTCTAAAATTAGCAAGTACGTGCAGAGAACACATTTCTCACCCATCCCTGGGACTCTACAGAGCAAAACTAGATGCACTGATGTGCCTCATAGGTAGAGCACTTGCCTAGCACACCAAAGCCCTGGGTTTTAGTTCCAGTGCTTAAAAAAAAAGTCTTGGAGCTTTGCTTTCCAGGAGAATCAATGAGTCACCTTACCTTTTAAAGAACACTACTGGTAGACTGAGGCATCCCAAGGCTCCTAGCAGGCATCTGCTCCAAACCAGAGCACATTCATCTGCAATAAAACAGAAAATGTTTTATTTAGTTAACTACCAACAAGTAACCTGACCAACCTTGAAAGTAAAAAGAAAGCTGAGAAGAAAAATGACTGACACAGCCAGGCGCCAGCGGCTCACACCTGTAATCCTAGATACTCAGGAGGCAGAGATCAAGAGGATCACAGTTTGAAGCCAGCCCAGGCAATTAGTTCTCAAGACCCTATCTCAAAAAAAAAAAAAACCTTCACAAAAAAGGGCTGATGGAGTGGCTCAAGGTGTAGGCCCTGAGTTCAAACCCCATACCGCAAAAAAAAAAAAAAAAAAAAAGCCTAACATTCTGTTGTTAAAGAACAAGTCTTTGCTGATGGTGCACACCTGTAATTCCAGCACTCAGGAGGCTGAAGCAGGATAATTGCAAGTTCAAGGTCACCTTGGACTACATACAGTAACACTGTCTCAAAAAAAAAAAAACAAAACCAATGACCAAGTCTTCTTAGGGGTGGGGATGTAGCTCAGGGGTGGGGATGTAGCTCAGCGGAGGGCACTTTTGTGCCAGGTCCTTGGTTCAATTTCTAGCACCACACGCACACAGTCTTTTAAACTATAATATAAAATATTTGTGCATAAAACAAACACAGAACATTGTTCTATATGCCCAGCACATAACAGCAGCTGCAATCCAAAACTGAAGGCAAAATATTTTACCTATTGACTGACTTTTAACTTTAATGCTATCATTAAATATCTAAATCCTCCCCCAACGCAGCATGGAAAAATATTTAAATGTAGTTTCTTCTCTTGTTCATTCTCTTATTACCATAATTTCATCAATCGCTGTTTGTATGTGGAAAGTTCCATCTTAGGTGATTATGTAGTCGTTTTGTTTGTTTTGAGGCAGGGCCTCTCCATGTAGCCCAGGCCTCCCAGGTGTAGGGATTACAGAAGTCCATGCGTGTGCCCCTCCTCCTAGCTGAAGTGTTATTTTTAATGCTAAGGGTTTTTCAATATACATACGTAAACTGCGGAGAGAGGTCCATGCCGTCTCGTATATAGGCCTTAAGTAACGGAGACCTTCCAGCGACTAACTCATTTGCAGAAAGCTATCTTTCAGCGAGTTCACTTGCAATCCTGAAAGGGCCAGGAAGTTGCACTTTGCAGAAAAAGGAAAAAGCCTTGACCTGGAAGTTTAAATGCTGCAACACGGACATGAGAACACATTTGAAAAAAAAAACGAAAAAACCTGCGTTCTCCGGGCGCTGGGCAGCTCTGGGAGTCCTGTCACCGGCCCTGGGACCCAGACGCGCAGTGGCCCGGAGCTCGAGATCGCGGCGGCTTCCAGTTCGCTTGTCTGCGGCCGCGGGAGTCCCCGCGCCACGCTCGGAGGAGTGTCCCTTCCGCGCCGCCCTCCGTCCGCCGTCCGCCCCAGGTCCGGACGCGCTCGGCCGCCTCGGGGACCGCGCGGCAAACTGCGGAGCGCAGCCGCGGGAGCGAAGCGGACGCCGTGCGCGGGCGCGACGGGCGGGGGCGCGCGGTGGGGCGGGGAGGAGACGGGGTCGGTGGCCTCGCGCGCCCGCGTCCCCGCCCGCACGTCGACCCAGGAAGCCCCAGCTCAGCCGCGGGCCGCTTCCGGCCTCTCCATCCTCCACCCTGGCCTCCTCCCCGGCCTCCACCGCAGCCCGCAAAGCCTCGGAAACGCGCGCGGACCAGAAGGGCGCGCGGCACCAGGAGACGTGAGGCACCCTAACCCCTGAGGCACCCTTTGTCTTTGTATTACAAAAGCAGGGTTGCAACATTCCAAAGGGCTTTCGCATGCATTAGTCTAAATAAGGCTGAAAATCAACAGAAGTCACTGCCAGCAGCAAGTGTGCAGAGCAATGACCCAGCTGCTGTCCTCCAGCCAGCCGACTGCGGCACGTGTTTGCAGATCTGATGCGTGACAAATCAGGAAAACGCCTGGCACACGGTGAGTACGCGGTAAATGATTGTCATATCACTATTATCTATTAAGAAGATTGTGATCTTTTCAGCAACATCCAGCTAGACAACTTTCACATCAGCAAAACTAGGGGAACCAGATTTTTTCTGTTTTTCCTTTCTTAGGTAGGACTAGAGTTTGAACTCAGAGCTTCGCATTTGCAAAGCTGGTGCTCTACAGCTTGAGCCACACCTCCAGTCCATTTTGGTTATTTTGGTTATTTTGGAGATGGGATCTTGGCGATGCCCAACAAGGCCTCAAAAACAGTGATCCTCTGGATCTCAGCATCCCAAATAGCGAGGATTACAGGCGTGAGCCACCTGTGCCCCTCTGAGAACCAGATCCTTTATCCATGATAATGTAGTTCCGTGGACAGCTGTGGCATCACCTCTAAAGTGTTCTTCTGGCCCAAAAAAGAAAAACCAAACACAGGCAAACCTGTAACTCAACTGCAAGCTTAAGAAATACAGAGGCCAAATGAGCACACTGGAGGACACAACCAGGAGGTAATCTGCCCTATCAAATGTGCGGGAGATTCTGCATAACAAATGGCCTAATTTCTTTATTCAAAAGTAAAGCTTCTGGCTGGAGATGATAGAGCCCCTGTCTCAAAAAACGAATAAATAAATTTAAAATAAAATTTTAAAATAAATAGCATCAGAAAAAAAGGGAAGGAGGGAGAGCTGTTACATTTGTGAGCAGATCAGGAAACTTAAATACGGACTGGGTGTTGAGAAACATCGGAGAATTTCTGGTGATTTTATTAAGAGATCCCTTTTGTGGTTATGTATTGTTTCATTTTGTTTTGTTTGAGATAAGGGCTCACTGTGCAGCCTGAGCTGGCTTTGAACTCACAAACTTGCTGCCTCCACCAGGATCACAGGTGTGAGTCAGCCTGTGGTTGTTTTTTGAAAAGTCCCTATCAGAGAAACATACTTAAGTATTTACAGGTAAATTATGATTTCTGAGATTTTTAATAACAAATTTCTAGAATTCTTTAGAAAAACAAAAGTCAGGAGAGAAGAAAAAAAAAAAATTGGCTTCAGGTTCCATAGTGAAGCCAGGAGGTTCCATGGGCATTGTGCTAGGCAGAGTACCTGCCCGAGAGACGTCCGTGTCCCAACTCTGAGCCTGTGACTCTTTTACCTCTCATGGCAAAAGGGGACTTCTAGGATGTGGCCGAGCCGGGCGCGGTGGCGCGCGCCTGTAGTCCTAGCTACTCGGGAGGCTGAGGCAGGAGGAGCGCTTGAGTCCAGGAGTTCTGGGCTGCAGTGCGCTATGCCGATCGGGTGTCCGCACTAAGTTCGGCATCAATATGGTGACCTCCCGGGAGCGGGGGACCACGGGTTGCCTAAGGAGGGGTGAACCGGCCCAGGTCGGATGTGGCTGAGCAGAAGATTATCCTGAATCATCCCAGTTCCATTTATCTCATCACTTGGGTCTCATTGCAAATCCCAGGCCAGTCAGAGGAAGGAGACAGTACACTAACCCTGGAAGGAGGGGCTGGAGATTCACCCTGACCAGGGCTCCACATATTATTGCTGGAGGTTGAAGATGGAGCAGGAGCTGTCGCTAATTTTTGACCTCAAATGGGGTCCTTTTCCCCTCTCAGTTCCAAAACCCAGTATCATGACCAAGGGTCAATAGAGCAGGAAGGAACATTTATTCTTGGCCAAGAAGAGAAGTGGGAGGTAATCTTGTAAATCAAGTTCCTCTGCTCACGTGGGTCAGGAGGTTACAGAAACCGGGCCAAAGAAAGGGGGAGGGGCAGGCTAATGAAGAAGAAGAATGGCCATGCCTTGTCTGGGAATGGGTGAAGATTGTCTGGGAATTTGAGTGCCACATTACTCACTCCTTTTATGGTTCTTTTTGGTCATTGTCATGGCAGTCCTCTACTGTCTTGGCCTTAAGGTGGGTATTTTACATCCCATTGGGATTTTAATGAAATTAGAGCCGTCTAGCTACATTCTGGCAGCCATCTTAGATCAACTGGTCTGGCCAGCCCACCTCGGGTATTCTACCTGAAATCTAAAACGTCAGCTAGGTCACCTGGGCCTACAAGATTAGGGCAGGATATCAAAACCCCAAGCAATGGAATTCCCAGGCCACCTCTCAAAGCTGGAAGAGGCAAGGAAATGGAGCCTCATAGAACTTCTAGGTGCCTCGACAACAGCTTGATTTTAGCCCACTCAGAGAGACCTTTGTGGGACTTCTGACCTACAGAGCTAAAACTTACTTATTTGGTGGTACAGGGTTGAAATCCAGGCCTCTCACTCACAAGGCAGACACTCTTACCACTTGAGCCATGCGTCCAGCCCAGGTGTAGGGTCATGCACAAACCTCGGATTCAATCCTTATTAGGTAGCAGTTAGTCTTGACTGATGGGGAAACTAAAATGGAGGGTTCTCCTGGGTCTCAGAGAAACACACTACAACTCTTAACAGCTTCTGTTAAGATCAGAATAGTTCACCGAGGTCATGGGATGTCACAAGATGTTTTTAAGTCACCCACCCTAAGGTGAGCTGATACCAATTCCTGAAACAATAGAGCTTCACAAAGACCTGGACCAAATAATAAATTGCTTTTGTAAATCTGTCCAAGCCCCTTCCACCTCAATAAAATCTTGTGCCAGGGTAAAAATAACTGTCCTCATCTCATTCTAGAAACTACTAGCTATATTAAAAGTGACCTCCTCTCCTAATAAACTTTACATCATTTTCAGTATATTTTCGTGTCTTGCCTGAATTCTTTTGCTGGACAGAGGTAGATACTAGTTGCTGACTGACTTTTGGGTTACCGTCTCCAGCAACACTAAAAAAAAAAAAAAAAACAGTTGCGTTGTTTTAAGTCACCAAATTGGTGGTAATTGATTACAGCAGCAATAGAAAACATATACAAGCATTCATTGTATTTCTCTCCACTTTCGATTATGTTTAAAATTTTTTGTGATCACCTAGTAAGAAATACATTTTTCAAAGTACTTCATTTATATATGAAGAGTAATCTGACTGAGGCAGGCTGAAATAAGGAAGGTTCTGGACTCTTAAACATATATGACTTATCATCTTGTATTTCAGATTGAACGTTTTCATTTTCCCTCCCTCTTTCTGGCTCCCTCCTTTTCAGTTGCAAATAGGCACAGTGCCCCTGCCTCTGGGACAGCCCAAACCCCTCCCCACTCACCAATTACTGGTGATCAAGAACTGCCCAGGTTTTTCTCCTCCTACAGGTTAGCTCAGGTTTTTAAAGCACCCGGATACAGGGAAGGGCGCTCTCTCTGCTCCCAGCTTCCACATGGCCCACCACCATGGCATTCGTAACTCCTTCCCTAACCTTTAATAAAATTTTATTATCACTCACTGCACCCACATATCCTGCCTGGATACATCCAAATAGGATCTAAAAGCATGAAATTTTCTGTTCCCCAGCCACTACAACATGACCTGGCATGGAACTCTACAATGCATTTTAATTTGAAAAGGAATTACATACAACAATGCACATATAAAAAGAGAGGTAGCAATTAGAGCAATGGGGATATGAAAAGGGAACCTAAAATGGAGAATCCTTGGTCCTTGCATATGTGCTGAGAGCCCCGTTCCCTCCTCTCTCCTTTCCTGTTCTCTCTCTCTCTCCCCCCTTCCCCTCGCTCTATTTCTCTGCCTCATATTATCTCTCTCTTCTTCTCCCCCCTCCCTCCTCCCTCTCTCTCTCTTTCTCTGTCTTCCCTCCCCTTCCCCATTACCTGCTTGCCTACATGCTACAAGCTACACTTTTCTACCCCTAGGCTTTTGGCTCCACGTCCTTTGAACACCTGTGACCCCACCACCACCATGTGACCTGTAGGAAAGAGTCCTGACGAAGCCCAGCCTTCCTCAAGACCAACCTTGCTCTTGAAGATTACTCATTGTGTCCTCCTGTGCCTAGGTCCACGTGAAAAGCAATTCTGGTCCAATCCAGTTAAGGTGGGCTACCTTTTCCCATTGCCAGGTCATTATATTCTCATTGTACTTTTACATTTTCTGCCCCCCCACACACACTCTGTCCATGTGGGTTTTTAATTTGTGCAGAGTGATTCCAGAGACTTAATTCTTTCACAACTCCCATGTCAATCGCTCTCCTTAGGCTGCTCCTGGGGAGGAACTGACACTCCAATCCAGTCAAGCGTCAACAAAGCCTGTGCCAGGACAGATGTGAGTGTTGTTCTAGACCCCTCTTTCTGAGATGACCCATTTTCACCCCCTTCTATTCTAATAAACTACTATCCTTCATAAGCTTTGCTATTATATCACTACATTTTGAGAATTGCCTAAAATCTTTTCTCTGGATGCAAGAATCAAGATACCTGTGCTGACCTTCTGGTAACAAAAGTATAATTAATTAAATAACATTGATTTTCAAAGTTATGTTAGGTCTGGAAACCTAAAGGACAGATGAGTGAGTAGCCCATCCCCCATGCATAGCACTATGAGCCCTTCACCCTGAGAAGGAGTTATAAATCTACATTCCTGCACCCTGGGAGGAGATATAGGGTCTCTTAAATCTGCCATGGGGCAGATAAGTTTATTCTGATAAACAGAATGCTCTCAAGGTTGCTTCCCCCCATAAGGAGCAAACAGACCAGATCATCAAAGAGAGTCCTAGCCTCGAATCCACAGCCAATGGAAAAACCCATGTAACCTATACCCTAACCCAGAGTTAAAGCGTCCACAAGAAGCCCCAGCCTTCACCTGAGCAGGAAGCCACTGGTTTCCAGGCTCCGCTGCACTGCTCCAGCTGTAGCCTTTCCTTTCTCTCTAATAAATCCTACTTTGTGTACTGCCTTGTCTCACGAGTCAATCAGCTGCTTCACGAGCCAGTTCTTTGGCCTGTGCAGGCAAGAACCCTCGACACCTGCCTGTAAGTTACAGATAGAAAAAAGCACAGTATAACCTGTCCTCAACTTTAGAATTGGTGTCACAATGACTAAATAAAGTTCATAGGAGTTTTTTGAGAAAACAAGCTCCCAAGATGCGTAAAAGTAGAATACTTTGAAATAGTCCCCAGGGGTGGGAGGTGTAGCTCAATGATAGAGCACTCACCTACCATGTGTGAGACCCTGAGTTCAAGGCCCAGCACCACTAAGACAGAGGAAAGAGGCAAAGGGAGATCCTCAATAATTTAATTTCTAATATTGAGCATTCTCTATTTCATGAGCGCACTATCCACATTTTATCAAATTTGCTACAATAAGCAAGCTCTATTAAACTCCATATTTTGAACTAATTTCATTGTGGGCTTTCAATTCCATTAACTGATTTAATGGAATCTCCTAGTGGCTGGCTTCCTCTAAATACTTCAGCTTCGTATTTTAGCTCACTGTCTTGTAACTTAATCCCAGTTAACACTTAAGAAGTCATGGGACCTTGCTCTTTCCCATACCAAATGGAGGTGAAGAGCCCCCTAAGGCAAGTGAGAAGACATCCTCAGTGATGGCTCCTCCCATCAGTGAACACTGGCAACCATACTCCTCCTCCTTCCCAGGATAGGCAGGCATTGGGCTTCCTGTGACCTAGGAAGAGACAGTAGGAACCCTAGAGAACAAGGAAAGGACTTATGTCTGACTCGGCTTGCTAGTTTTCTCCTACCCTGTAACTGTAAGGAACTGCCAAATAAAGACCACGCCACGTGTGGAAAAGAAAGATTTATTAGGAACCAGATCGCAGGGCTGTCACTCTCAGGTTCAGAGTGCAGCGGCTTGGCTGAATTGGGTAGTGGGCTTTATAGGAGGGACCAAGCCATGGGGGAGAGAGAGAGTCTGTGGTTTCAGATTACCTGTGATCACCAGATGGAACAGGTCGACATGCCTGGCTGGTTGAGTAAACTGGAAGTTCCTGAGGTTTTGTAAGCAGAGCAGGGAAACAAGCAGGGGAGTTTGGCAAGCAGTCATAAATGAGGCGGTCTGGCTTCGCGGTGCTAGCCTCGGGACCTTCTGCCCACCCCAAGAATGCCAGGGACCTAATAGTAACAACTACACAAACTTAGCAATCTCAGCCACCTACAGTTATCATCCGAAAGCATCTGAAGGTCAGGGTTCCTGCAACCAGCTGCCAGCCAGATTGGTGTCCTCATCTGGAGGCTGAGCCCTCTGCCAGCTCACTGGTTGTTGGCAGAGTTCAGATTTGTGGCTTAGGACAGAGACCCTCAGGCTCAGAGGCCACCTGCTGCTCCCTGCTATTGTTGAAGTCACTGATAATTCTAATCAGAAGATTTTGGTCCTTGAGCTCTTGGGGGGGGGGGCGGGGTGCAGAATCCAAGCAGAACACGTGGATGTTTGTAGGAGGAAAATACCAGTTTTATTATAGGAAACAGGGAGGGGATTACAGGTGGGTCTCTGCCAGGTGGAATGGAGGTGCAGTGTGCAGGGACAAAAAGGGAAGAATTTTTATTGCAGGTGGTTTTTATATCATCCTTAACTTGGAGGTGGGGAGAACACTTTTGTCACTTTCTGTCTCCAATGACCTTTGGGCCAAGGAGGTCATTGGAGACAGGAAATGACACAAGTGTCATTGGAGGATCTGGAATGACTCATGCATAAACCTATGCTAATTCTTAGGTACCCTGTTTAACAAAGGATTTGCAATTGAAATGTTGCTGTCTGGGCAGAGGGAATGGGTAAGGGAGGGGTTGCTGAGGTGCTGTAAATCAGGCTGCACAGTTTTTAAAAGTTCATGACTATCACTACTCCTAGCCTGCCTCACTATGAGCTACTGCTTTTTTCAAGACCAAAGGGAAATCTCTCCCCTCCGTGTCTGACTGTGTCTAACCTCCGGTCCTCCTTATGATTAAGTCAGGCCCACCCAAGACAAACTGTCTTAATGTCAGTTCATTAGGAGACTTAATCATATCTACAATATCCTTCCTTTTGTCATATAGCAAAACTTGATCCAGGAGTGAACAAAGTGACAATTTGCACAGCATCCCGGGTGAGAACAAGTTCAACCATGCCATGAGTGTGTTAGCAGCACCTGGACTAAGGGAAGCTAGGAGAAACACTATAGAGAAAGGAAGGAAGTTTTCAGTAAGGGTTTTTCTTTTCTTTTTAAAGATTTAAAAAAAACTCCAGAGACTTATGCAAAAAGAGCAAGACCAAACTATATTATCTCCTCTGGTAATAAAACTACAAAGAAGCAGAGAGAACTGATGATTATAAAAGCCAGGGAACGCTTACTCTTGGGGAGGGCACATGGAAGTTGCATTTCTGTCTCTCTCTCTCTTTCTCTCTCTGTCTCTCTCTCTGACAGGACCTAGGTCTTGCCATGTTGCAGTGTTGCCCCAGTTGGCCTCAAACTCTTGGGCCCGAGAGATCCCTCCTACCTCAGCCCGGGGAGGCTGAGTGGCTGGTACTGTGAGGTATGAACCACCACACCCAGTTTACAAAGTTGCCTTTCTTGACCTCAGTGGTGCTTACAAGGGTAATTCGTTACCCTCATTTAGTTTAGTGTGTAATTATTCATTAATTCATACACTTGGTCTGTGTGGCTATGCAATTTTTTGTTGTTGTTATTTTTTTAATTTTACAATAAAAAGGATTGTTTAAAAAGTATTCCAAAATAAGCTGAGCAAGGGGACTCAGGCCTATAATCCCAGCTACTGGGGAGGTGGAGATAGGAGGATTGCATTTCCAAGCCACTTTAGGTAAAAATGTTAGTGAGACCCTATCTCAAAGAATAAGCAAGGTATACTGAAAGAACGCCTGTAATCCCAGCTACAGGGAGGCATAGGGAGGAGGACTGAGGTTCAAGGTGGGGGGAGGGAGTGAGACATAACTAAAAGCAAAGAGCTGGAGGCTTGACTCAAGTGATACAGCGCTTTCCCTAGCCTGTGTGAGGCCCTGGTTCAATCCCTAGTATCAGGCCAAAAAAAGGAGAAAAGAATGATGATAAAATATAAAAACAAAAACTGCAAATTCGAAGGTAATACGTTTAATGTCACTGTAAAATGTAGCAAATGCATTCACTGTCAAATTGAATACTCAAAATATTATTGCACTTGAAACAATCTCTGCTCTCACTTTAATAACACTCCTGGGGCTGGGGTGTAGCCCCGTGGTACTAGCACGTGCATGGCTCTGGGTTCCATCCCCACCACCAAACAAACAAACGAAAAAGGTCTGGTAGAGTGGCTCAAGTGGTAGAGCACCTGCCTAGCAAGCATGAAGCCCCAAGTTTAAACCCCAGTACCGCCAAAGCAAAAACAACAACAAAAACCCGTCCCAATTCTACCTAATGATTACCAAGAAATCCGAGTCAGACAGATACTGAATATTATTTATTTATTTTTACAGTATGGATATTGAACCCACATGCTAGGCAGGCTCTCTACCACTTGAGCTACTCCCCCAGCACTTTTTGTTTTCTGTTTTTTGTTTTTAAGACAGGGTCTTGCTACCTTTGGCCAAGTTGACCTCGGATGATCCTCTTTCCTCTGCCTCCTGAGTAACTGGGACTACAGACGTGTACCACCACACTCAGCTCTAAACTGAATATTATCCAAAGATAAATCATATCAAAGACAAAATTATTGTTTTTGTTCCAACTTCTGGTGGTGCTGGAGATCTGACTGAGGTCTTTGCACATGCTAAGCACATGCTATGCCACTGGGCTACATTCTCAGCCCCTAAAGGATTTTTGAAATCCTTTAAAATGTATTACAGCAAAAATATAAATGCACACATGATTTTTTGTTGGTTTTGTTTTTTATTTTGAGATGAGATCCTGCTTTGTGGCACATGCTGGCTTGAACTGGGCTCAAATGATCCTCCTGCCTCAGCCCCCAAGTAGCTGTGACAATAGGCACGCCTGGGCCATACGGTTTTTAATGTGGATATGAGTGTACTTTAATGCTTAATACATTCTACAGTTGGACCTTTGATTCAAAGCAAGCTCGGAGCTTAGAAAGTTCTTGAAATGGCCCCAGATGAGCACCATCTGGTGACTGGAATCTGGCATAATGAGGTATGTCTCTTGGATCTGGCACTTTTCTGAGTAGTGTACTGTAGGGTGGTGCAGTGTAGTGAAGTGGTTACACTTCCACCTGGAGTTGCCTTCCCGGATTTAAGTTTCAGTTCTACCCCTTACTAACCATGGCACTAGAGGAGTTATTTAATTTCTTTCTTTTTTATTTATTTATTTTTTTTGGTACTGGGGTTTGAAATCAGGGCCCCATGTTTGCTAAACAGGCACTCTAGCACTTGAGCCACTCCACCAGCCTTTTTTTGTGATGAATATTTTCGAGGTAGGGTCTCAAGAAGTATTCGCCCAGGCTGGCTTTGAACCACGATCCTCTTGATCTCTGCCTCCTGAGTAGCTAGGATTACAGGTGTGAGCTCCGGCATCTAGCTAATTTCTTCAGTACTTAATCTCTTTGCTCCTCATCTGTACGATGGAGATGATATCAGTGCCTACTTTACAACACAGCTGTGAGCATTAAACACTTTACTAGGTATAAAACATTGGACTATTGCCTGCCACACAGAACTTCTCAGTAAGTACTAGACACTACTATTCTTGGTTTTTTGTGGTATTAAGGATTAAACTCAGGGCAATTGCTAGGCAGGCATCTACTACTTGAGCCACACCTCTAGCTCACTATTGTCATTCTCATGATGGTGGCCGGCCACAGATATGACAAAAATTGGTGGGTGTCCTGGGCTGGACCAACAATGGCATAGCAACCTATCCTGTCTGCACGTGCCTCCACCACCAGAGCTGGCATGCACACTGCTGCCGTGCGGGCATGTGAGCTGCAGCAATCACTGAACTAAGTAGGTTCTGGATAAGGAAGAAAGGAAATGGGAGAGGAAGGGCCCTGGAATGGGCTGGGGGTATAGTCAGTGGTAGAACACCTGCTAACCATGTACAGGTCCTGGGTTCCATCCCCAGAACCAAAAGTAACTAAGTGGATAAGAAGATTGAATTGGAACCTGTATCTGTTTCCTATTGCTGCTGTAACAAATGGTCACACAGTGTCTCGAAAACACACAAACGCATTACCCTACTTTGCTACCAGTCAGAAGCCCCACACAGGGAGGACTCTCAATACTGAAATGAAAATGTCTGCCAGACTGCACTCCTCTGGATGCTCTAGGGAGGTGCTCTCTGCCTTTTCCAGTATCCACAGCTGCGGAGTCCCAGGCTCACAGCCCCTGCCCCACCCTCAAAGCCAACAATGGTGGTTGAGTCTTTCCACATGGCCCTACTTGACCTCTTTGCCTCCCTCTTCCAATTTTAAGGACTGCTGTGATAATTGTGTTGGGCACACCTAGATAGTCTCGGGGTTTTTCCCTGATACCAAGTACATGGTGTCTTTTCCAGCACCAATTCTCCACTTTAGTAGTGCCAGCTAAGTGTTCCACAACTGAATTCAATTCTAACATTAACTACTTGGAGATCTTGTCCATTCCACAGGTGTATGGGCCAACACAGTCCCACAAGACTGCCCATAGTTCAGACCCCAGCCACAAGTATTGGGCTCCCTAGTGAGCCTCACTTCTGTCTGTCTGCGCTGCAAAGTCAGGGGTTCCCACAACACCAAGATTCAATTCTTGTTAGAATTCAGGAACTGCCACACCCACTATGACATTTCCTCAGACACAGCACCACATCTGGATGGCCAGATGAAGAGACATGTGAGGTAAGGAGGGTCCCAAGCACAGGAGACCCTGTCCCCTTCAGTGCCTCACTCTCTGGGCATGAGGATGTGTTCACCCAAATTTAGGAGGTGTTATGGAGGTTTCATCACACAGACATGATTGTGGCCAATCTTCAACCCCTCTCCCTTCCCCCAGAGGTTGGGGAGCTAAAAATACCAAGCTTCTAATCAAAGCTTGGCCTCTCTAGCAACCAGTCCCCATCCTGAAGCTAGCTGGAGAACCAAGAGTCACCTCCTTCTTGCAGAAGACATGCCTACCACTGCGTCATTCAGGAAATTCCAAGGGTTTCAGAGCTCTATGCCAGGAGCAAGGGACAAAGAGCAAATAAATACCTTTCCTCTTATACCACAGTGACTTATTCCATCTACAACCCTGACTCCCTTTGCACAGGAAGGTGACATTCACAGTTCGGGGAGAGGGGTTGGAATGTGAGTATCTTTGTGGGGCATCACTCTGCTGACCACAGCATCCAAAGCAGTGTGGGTCAACCTGGGCAGTTAGGTGGCCAACACATGGAACGTGGACTCGAGGATTTGTCAAAAGGCTGAACTTTCGAGTACTGTACTGTGGACTGTGGTAACAGCCTCTCCACACCCATGAACAAAGTCCTCTGCTTCCCGACATGCCTTAGGGTGATAGGGAGAAATAGAAAGGGAGGAATCTGTGAGACAATTACAAAGCCAAGATAAGTTACACAATAAATGTGGAGTTTGTGATCACTCAGTCAGACCACGCCCTAATTAATTAATACAACTCTCTGAGACCTAGCCCATGCATTATGGAACATTCACCACCTACGTTAGCTTTACATAAACATGCGACTGTTTAATTCTAGGGACCCGAATGTCCCCTGCTGCCACACTACCTTCTGTTACCATGGAGAAATTTTAAAGCCCCTCATCTCTAGTCCTTTCTTCCTCCGTCCTTCCCCCTTTCACCTCACACTGCTTCTGAGGCAGGCTGACAGCTGCGTGGGATGTGGGGAGGGGGACAGAGACAGAGACATCCTCCCCCAGTCTGCACCCTATCATGCAGGCTCTCAGTGATTTGTGGATAAGATGTAGAAATCACAAGAATAAAATCCCTGTGCCCCCCAGATGATTCCCCAGAATGACTTTTCTCTGTAAAAACAGCAAGAACACTTTGATAGTCTAAGTTACAGACTTCGAAGTTGTCGCCCCCCACCCCCACCCCAACCCACTCAGCATCTCTTGCAGTTCCTTCAAACTACAAGAGTTATGTTTAGTTTCCCAGCCAGCCAATCATTGCTGCAATCCCTCTAGATGGCAAATGTGCCTTTGCATCTTTGCTTTAAATTCTCAGTCATTTGCTCCACAAATAAAGAGTTTGGCACTTTAAGAGGTATGGTGCCAATGGGGGAAATTGATCAAGTAACTATACTTCATTTAGGAAAAAGACAGTATTTTCTCATACTGGGCACTATCAACTGTAGATGTGACCATATTTGAGGCACATTAAGAAAGAAAGAAGGGCTGAGATGTAACTCAGTCTAACATGAGCAAGGCCCTGGCTTGGATCCCCAGTACTACCAAAAAAAAATTTGTTTTTAATTAAAAAATGGAAAGAAAAGTAAGAGAGAAAGAAAAGGTGTCATAACTTGTCCTCTTATGTAAGATTCACTCCAGTGTTTCTAAGAACAGATGAAATAATTATCACCCAGTCTTAGAAA